CTGGAGTCTACTACGGGTTTACCGCGCTCGATGCTGCAAACGATGCAGCCGAATTAGCCGGGACAAAACAACAGACTGTCGGGGCAAGTGCCGTCAGTGAGCAGCACCTATGAAGGCCGGCACGGCACACGAGGGGGTGGGTGGCCAGCAACCACGCCGGTTCAGAAAAGTGTCTCTTGGTGCCGACCGTGGGCAGGGATAGAACTCGGGGCGTCGGGTTCGGAGCGCAGCGCACGAATCGCTTCTACACTACACCGCTCCCCACTCACTAACAAACATGCACACACACACGTACACACACAAACATGCACACGCACAAGCATGCACACACACAAACATGCACACACGCAAACATGCACACACATCTTAAAGTGACTATGTGACTGTGCAAACAGAAAATCCATTAAAAAAAACAGCAAAATATTCCTGCAAAGAGCACCGCCACTTGAACGTGTGGAGCTCCACCACCACAGGTGTTGATGTCGGCGGGAACGGCGTTTTCGCCGGAATGGCGGCCCCACCGCGTGGCCCGCAAGCCCTCCGGGCTTCCCCTGCCAGCCCCCGCAGCGACGACGGCGTCCTCTCCCTCGCGGCTCCGGCGCTCCGTTCCCGATGTCGGCGAAGCAGCGGTGCGATGCCAGTCCCGCCGCTCCACGTGCAGCGCCACCTCTCTCTGTCACTGGGGCTGACATCCCCGGGGCTGTCCAAAGGATGGTCGTCACGCCGTCTGTGGTGCCACCGCAGCGGTGCGGCTCGGCCGGCGCTACCCGCTCCTCGCACCACACCCCCCACGAACGCACGCACACCCCACTAAACACTTGCATCCACCCCCGTAGGGTCTCGAGGAGGGATCACCTGGTACGATTGGTTTTCGCCCGAGGATCCCACTAGCAGGGATGTTCCACGGTTTCCCCGGACCAGGAGATTGGGTGGGCCCCCCAGACCGGATTAGATGGCACCCCCCCCCCCCCCCCCCAGGGAGGGGGCATAGGGCTTTGCAGGCCGGCCGCGATGAAGCATACACAACACGGGGGGGGGGGGGGGGGGGTGGGACCTTCAGCCAATACCCAGCGGTGGGGTAAGCAGTGGGGTGGGAGAGAAAAAACCCCTAGGCAGATAAGAGTTGACTTAAGTTGGAGGGGATTATCGATGAGTCGACGGCGGCGAGGGACGCGGGTACAGAGACAATGGGAAGAGGGGGGATGACGCGACCTCCCACCCCAATGGCCAGAGCGCTCAAGACGGCCGTAAAGAGGACTCGATTGGATGAGCAGGATGACGTCATATGACCCGGGGGTTAAGGCGTTTTGGGAACATAAGGGGGGGAGGAGGAAATTTGTTTTTATCAGAGTTCTTCTGGAGTGGGAGAGAACACCAGCCGCCCTCAGCGTCCGTGGGACGCCTGCAGGGTGCAGCTGAAAACGAGGTCAGAAAAAGTCCCCAAGGCGAGCATCTTCCCCAGCCCCATCGAGCAACTGAAGAGGTGAGTGGGTACGGAAAAGGGAGGCCAATTCAGTCAGCTCGAGCTTAGGGGATAGACGCACTCTGCGACGGGTAGGTGATAGGAGGAAGGGTGCTGGCTGGAGGGGGTCATACATGGGGGTCCCTATTCGCTCCGGGAAATAAATCTTAGCACACACTGACGTTGTGACGCGTGGTGCATGTGTGCGTGTGAAGAGCGGTGGTACAGCGATCGGCGTACGACGGTGTGTGGGTGACTTTAATCAGTATATGCACGACGCCCGCGCACATGCAAATAAATAATTAAATAGAGGGACGCTTGACCGCGCGCAGATATTAATTAATTGATTCCGAGCGCCGTTGGTTTGTTGACAACGGCTTAGTATAAATAATTAATTAACTCTAAACAGCCGCGAGTGGGGGTGGAGGGGGCAGACGTCGCACCCCACCTGCTCGTGGGGAGTGGGGAGGGGGAGATCAGCCCCCACCTAATGGGGAGGGGGAGATCAGCCCCCACCTAATGGCGAGTGGGGAGATCAGCCCCCATCTAATGGGGAGGGGGAGATCAGCCCCCACCTAGTGGGGAGTGGGAGATCAACCCCCACCTAATGTGGAGTGGGGAGGGGGAGATCACCCCCCACCTAATGGCGAGTGGGGAGGGGGAGATCAGCCCCCACCTAGTGGGGAGGGGGAGATCAGCCCCCACCTAATGGGGAGTGGGGAGATCAGCCCCCACCTAGTGGGGAGTGGGGAGATCAGCCCCCACCTAGTGGGGAGGGGGGAGATCAGCCCCCACCTAATGGGGAGTGGGGAGATCAGCCCCCACCTAGTGGGGAGTGGGGAGATCAGCCCCCACCTAGTGGGGAGTGGGGAGGGGGGCATTAGCCCCACCTAGTGGGGAGGGGGAGATCAGCCCCCACCTAGTGGGGAGGGGGAGATCAGCCCCCACCTAATGGGGAGTGGGGAGATCAGCCCCCACCTAGTGGGGAGTGGGGAGATCAGCCCCCACCTAGTGGGGAGTGGGGAGATCAGCCCCCACCTAGTGGGGAGTGGGGAGATCAGCCCCCACCTAGTGGGGAGTGGGGATATCAGCCCCCACCTAGTGGGGAGTGGGGAGATCAGCCCCCACCTAATGGGGAGATCAGCCCCCACACGTCCTCGACGTCCAGGTGAGTTGTTTTGTGCTCATTTTACTACCCTAGGACAACACCTAGCAATATTTATTTTTCCGCAACTCCTGACACCAAATGTAGTGGGTTCTAACTTAGGTGCGCACACACCCACACCCAGCTTGGAGGCAACACTATTTATTAGAACGGTAAGTAATGTAACACTGTATATATAAGGTGGTGAACCACCCACCTTTCTCAACTCACTAACACTCTGGAACACTACACCGCGTGACCCAGGCAGGTAACGGGCTGCCTGGTCCCAGATGACGACCCGGGACTTGAGGATCGATGATGTCGTCCTCACTTCGGGGTTGAATATTATTCCTTGATTTTTTTCGGTAAAGTCACGTAGAAATAATAAACAGGTCCCTGCAGGGTGGGCTGGTAGGAACATTGGAATTTAGCGCAATTTTATTTATTATTTATTTTTACACCCCAACAGCACGAGATTTCACTTCGTTAAAGTATTGAAAGGGGACGGACGGACACATTAATCTATTGCAGGCTGGTACACTCAGTTTACAACTTCGTTCCTACCAGTAAAAATAAATTATATAATAGCATACGACGTTTCGATCGCAACACAAGCAATCATCATCAGGTAGAGTAAACACATAACCGCAGATATATATACAGACCTTAAGTAGGGGGAATTAACACAGATATACCAGGGGCTACAGAGAGACGGAACATCACACTAAATCAAACAGTGTTTAGCAAAATTTGGAAACTATATAAAGCAACACAAACGGTAGGTTAAAACACAATTAACGCATGGTTTGGTTGAATACGCTGTTTCAAAGATTGTTAAATTGTAAGTTAAGTGTGAAATTTAAGATAGTGATAGATTATATAATTTTATTTTTTATTATTTCTACGTGACTTTACCGAAAAAAAACAAAGAGTAATTCCTGCAGTCACGAAAGCGCCTAATCAAGTTTGAATATTATTAATAAGGGGTGCGCGATCTACTTGTGCGTTAGTGGAAATTTCCACGCGTGCATGAATATTAATGAAGGGGGGGAAGGGCGGCTTTTTTGCAGTGACGTCACGCACGGACGTAGCACTGTGCTGCGTAGATTATTTTTTTACCGTCACTTTCTGTAAAGAATCGACTCGAATTTTCGACGCGTTCGTGTTAAAATCCACCCGCTCATGAATATTAATTAGGGTGGGGGATGGGTGGGCCTCATGCGGAGTGACGTCACGCGGGGAGGGTGGGCCTCATGGAGTGACGTCACGCGCGGGACGGACAGACATTTCTGGGTGGTTATCGTATGTATAATAGAGGAAACATACCAATGAATTAATTACATACTAATAAACGAATTGCTAACTAATTACTAACCTATTAACCAATCAGTAACCGATTATATGACGTCGTCCCTCTAATTAAGACCGGAAGCAGGTGGATGGCTTCACTGTTGTGGAAAATCGCGCGGTGATGCCGATGAATGGAAGTACCAGCGACACCTCAGATGGTAAATGTTAAATTTTGATTTAAAGCTTTCGTGACTGCAGTAATTCATATTCTTAGTTCTTTCGGTAAAGTCACGTTGAAGGGAAACAATAAAATAATAAAAAAATATATAAAACAATAAAAATTCTCACGACCGTTTGTGTTATGGTCGAAACGTCGTGAGAATATGGTAAATGTTGTTGATTTACTCTCCCAACACATCGGTGGGCTGAAGCGGTCAACTAATTGGCGTTTTGTTTACGTGACAAATCCATTACTGATTTGCCGTGGTCGGGTGGTGGAGGGTTACGACACAAGATTGATACTTACGCGATTCTAACCACAGAAACATTTTTTTTTAATTACGCAGACCACGAGCGCTGGGTCAACTCCAATCCTTCGTCGTCGCAACGAGAATTCCAACGTTAATTATTCAAATTAACAACTTTAAAGGCTCACATGGGCTGAATGACAACAACTCAAAGGGTCCGGGATGGGCTGAACAAATGTGATTTAAAGGATATACTATAGTCACTCTCGATTTGAAGCTTTCGTAACTGCGGGAATCCATCCCTCTTTGGTTCTTTGTGTAAAGTCATCACGTAGTTAGAAAAATAATAATAAAAATAGATCCGTCCTCAGGTTGCTTGTGTGGCGATCGAAACGTCGTGAACTATTATTATGTTTCTAGCTACGTGACTAGTGTACGTGTCAACCCGTTCGGTTTAACCGCGTATTCTTGTACAGGAAAATCGAGTTTTCAGGTCCACACGGCGCGCAGCCGTATCAATACGGGCAACAAAAAGTGTCGATCTGTTTGTGTTTATCCCCTTGTGGTGATGGTGAGTTTGTAGGATGAACGTTTGAGATTTATAAAAAGGCACGGGGTGATCAATAAGGTGTTACTTGATCTGTAATAAGGTAGGGCACTGATAATAAGTCGTTGACAGGTATGATATACAGTAATGTAAAAGTAGGAATAATGCAATTTGGGGATATTCAAATGCATAAGTAACGCGAGTTTTAAACTTGATTATTTGAACTTAAACTTATATCCATCCGTTGCTTAACTCGGGACCGCTCAGAAGCACGCCTGCTCAACTGTGATGGCACGACACTCATGTAAATACAGATGTGGTGACGTTTCGGGCAATGGTTCATCTGTATGCCATTATGAAGGCGTGTGTGTGATCAGATCGATACTCATTTATTGACGCCGGTTACAAGTACAGTACATGCCCACATTATTGCGTGATTTTGGCCGATCGCAAAACGCTATAATTTTAAAAAAGTTATTTTGTACTTCTGAAATGAAAACACTGAGGAAGATGTAGACCTTAGATGTATATCTACTGTATAATATACATTTGTTATTTTTTTAAAGAGGGTTAACGGAATTAACTTTTAAAAAATATATATAAACTCGGACTCGCCCACGTGACCGAACGCTCGTTTTCGCGGGAAACCTGAACATGGCGGCGTACGCAATGTTTACGTTTTTGTACAGCGAGTGAATCAACCAAAACAAATAAAACAGGCACAGTCATAACAGGCACAACTTACAACATCGGAGGTCGTGGACGTCGTCGCATAGGTAGGCGATGCACCCACAGTGGATTTAAGCACTCGCATACACTTTGTTTATGTCTGTTTCGAGAATTGGTAGGCCTACGCGAGAGCCTCGGTGTTGCCTGCTCTGGGTACAGAGGAAGGGCAGCTTTGGTCCGCAGGGTTGGGACGGACGCAGGGGGTCCTCTTATCGGGGTTAAACAGTTCCAAAAAGTGTACGTTTTTTGTTTCTCAAATTAACCTGGCGCAAGACATAACATTCGTAAAGTCTTAAACCAGTGATAGAAACTCCGCGTTACTGTGACGGGTACAAGTATAGCCACAGCATGTTTAGAGAGTGAAGCGGTGGTTCCGGTCCTTAGCACCCGTTTCAACAACCCGCTATGACCAGCTGAGTTAAGTATGGTCACAGTATGACGGACACGGCGCGGGTAGGCCTTCGTCCAGCAGTAGATTGACAAGGGGGGCTGTTTATCGTAGGTCAAAAAGGGCGTTTGAGATACGTGAGCAATTCTGCAAACTTTGATCCTTAAAAAGGAAACGGACTGCGTTGGTCGTAGCGCACAAGCAAGTAAAGCATTCTACAGCTTAATTGTCACTTCCTTAATTAGTATAGAAGTCTTGTACCAAATTATCTAATCTGGCGACCTGTAGATAAGGTTGGTGAACAATGCAAAGATGGAACCTCTAATGCAGTACAGTATATGTAGCTACAGGTCATAGATGTCATTGGGAGCAGTACACCAAGTAGGTTCCTAACAGATTACACCTAACACTGGTACAGAGCTTATCGGTAGATAATTGTCATTTCCTATCGGACGATAAGCTCTGGAGGATGAATGCATAGTTGAAGGCTCTTGAAAGAAAACTGTAACAGCGATGAAAATGTTAAGTTTTGTTGATTATTCAGACGAAACCTTGGCATAACCAGTTTAGTGATTTTTCAGTGCGCTTCAGCAGTGTAGTAATCTTGTTTTAAAGATTATTTAAATCGGTTGTGTAATTTGCCGTGTGACGTAACGATAAAGGTGCAGCCCTGCAACTGCTCGCCTACGTCACTGCTCGAGGAAGAGTTGCCACTCGGGGGAGTTCTCGGGCAGTGGTTATAAAGCCTTTACTGCAAACTTGCACCCCTTTGAATCTCAATCATAAAAAAAAATTGTGCTAATTAATACAGCGGTTTGATGAAGCAAAGTAGTTGTACTTGCGTGCCCGTGTTTCGATGATTGTTTACCTTCTAGTAAAAGCTGGCATGTCTCGCACCCCCAGAAATGGCATGTCACACCCACATCTGGCGCGTGCAGCCCAGGTTAAGAACCACTGCTCTAGAGAGTTGAATATGAAGGGCACCCTGAGCCATTAACTACTCAGGGCAGTGTTGGAGAATGGTATAACTGTCATTTTATAAAAAAAATATGTTCACGTATCTGACCCTTTCACATCTCTGCCAATGCCTCGATTCATACCGAGTCAGATATGTGATGTTGCACTGCGCTTAAAATTTACTGAAATCGCTCAGTCTCTGCAGTTAAATATACTGATGCATTGAGATTCCATATAAATAGCTGTTTTAGCATTTGGACGAACGCAATAACTGGGCGTGTTTCACCTTTATTGAGGCTTTTTCAGTCAGGTGTGGCCTATTACACAATGTCTACTGCATACCCTGAGGGCTTGGATTGGCGAGTGTGCAACGATTTGCCTTGCAATTCAATAAAGTGTCACAAAGTTGGAGCCGCGATTTTCTGAAATAATCTATTCTCTGTATTTTTATTTTTACAGGAATTAAATAAGCACCTCTAGTGGCTGCAGAGCTCGCATGACCCATTTACAAACAATACGCTTGCACAATTTAGATTTATATAGGGTACAGATGTGACCACCTCTCAAGCTGCTGTACAAGAACAGCGAGCCCATTTATCTCTATATATTTAAAAGGCAAAGTTGTGAGTGTGTGTTTGTTCAAACTGTTTAGCCAACTTCCCGACATGCAACAAACTTGAAATTTGCCATGTGGGTACTTTCCAGACTGCACACCATGCAAAAATTAGAAAAATACACTTTTTTGGGGGGGGGAGCTCAATAATGCATATATATTTTTTGCACGGCAAATGATCTGTGACGTCAAATCTGTCAAGTGACCTGTGCGTGTGGAAGCGTAACGCATTGTAGTGTAGCGGTTAGCGCGCTGCGCTACGAACCCAGTGACTCGAGTTCGATTCCCGCTCACGGCCACCACCGGTGACGATTATTTCAACCGCTCCTGGGCCTCCCCTAGGTCGACTCAGCCTCAAACGAGTAACTGCTGTGGTGTGAACATCGCCACTGGGGAGACAAAGGCCGCCGGGCGTGGTGGATCCAAGTCCCGGGTGAAGCCGGGTAGTACAGCTAGTTTAATATAAAGAGGCAGTCAGTCTTAGGCAGAGGACAAATGGAAAATTTTGATCCTGGACATTATCAATGGCAGGGTAGCATGTGTGACTGGTGGAAGGGAGCGCAGCAGAGGGGAATGGGCGACCTCCCACTGGGTGAAGGTAGACTGGGAATTCAACAGAAGGCCTTGGTTACTGGAGTGGAGAGTGCACGGAGAAGAGTAATGAAATGGGACAGGAGAGGTAGGAGAGTGATTGGAGGGGAGTATAGTCCGATGAGAGGGGAGAGCTAGGAAAATTAATTGGAGGGGAGTAAACTGAAATGAGAGGTGAGAGGTCGAGTGTGTAAAGTTGAAAAACAACTGTTAATTTATATTTTAAAATGTCTGTTATACGTTATGACGGAAACTGTGGTCAGCCTTGTGGTAGGAAGTTTCACTCAAGAGCTGGAGCATGGGAAACTGGGGAATTGGTGAGAGGTGGTGTAAAGCAGGAGTTGTGAACCTTTTACTTGGTGGGAAACTACACATTAATACACACATTGGCTTTATCTAATAATAATGCGAAAAATTGATGGTTCACGTTTTCAGGTGACTGAGTGTGCCCAGATTAGAAACTCTGTGTTGCCAGGTTGAAAATAGCCCCCTTTAGTACTCTATTAGTGTGTCTAAAATTGTGATGATATCGAAATAACTGGAGGTATCAAATCGTAACTAATTTAGATACATCTAGTATAATAAATAAATACAATTCCAGCGACTCTCATTCCTCTAATGGATTTAGGTTTCCCCATGCCCTATTGGTCATGGGTTTTCTTTACCATGCCTCACATTGGTCAGAGCCGGTTGGTGAAGATAGGGGCAGGACCTGTTCTTATATTTCTTGCCACTGATGTTTGCTACTGCCGAGCATCAAACTCGAATCGTTGAGTTTATAGCAGAGTGCGCCAACCAGAAAATAGTGAAAATGTTATTAATATGCAATAATAAAAAAAAATTAGCCAATTTTTTTTTGTTTCCCCCTCTGACATTTTTTTTTTTAGCCGGGTGCGCCACCGACACTGGCCACTGGATGCGTTAGGCCATCCGGTGAGTGACCGGTGAGTGACCGGTGGTCGTGCGAAGCCGCACCGGCGTGGGCAAGGTGAGCGGTGGCACGGACGGTACGGGAACCGCCGGCGGCATGGAGGCGCGCATTCTGCGTGTGCGGCAGGTGCTAACCCTGATGGAGCAGACGCTGGAGTGCCCCATCTGGTGAGCGGACAAACACACACACACACCAGTCTCTACTCTGTTCTCCTCACAATGATGCAGACAAACTGGTCTCTGATGGGGGTGTCTGGATAATAGTAGAATGGCAAACCGATGTCCGACGTGGTCTCTAGACAATGATGTGCTGACAGACCTGCCTTTGCTGAGGTTTCTAGAAAATGGTCTGGACATATCAGAGTCTCATTGGTAATGTAAACTTTAACAAAAGTATGACGCGAGTTTAACATCAAACGTTTAACAACTCGTTCTATGAAACACACGTGTCTCACGACGGTGTTTTCGAAAAAAATCTTCACTGTATGACGTTTGGCTTCTCGGCAGCCTGGACATCATGAAGGAGCCCATCTCAACCAAGTGCGACCACCAATTTTGCCGGTGAGCCAGGGAGTTGAGGATAAACGTTGGCTCTGGCCACAAACCAGCGACCACAGCTTGCCAATGTTCGCCTCGAATGATGGGGTAGAGATTAGGCGAATGAAATGGGTAGTCAACCTGATTTGTTAAGTTAATTTCGCAGACTTTGTGGTGCAGATGATACAATAAAAAACTACCAAGAGCGCATTTTTAAGTGTTCCAATGCAACTACCATGTTTTATACAATATAAAGACAAAGATCCCTGTACAGCCTAAACAGACTGTTGGGGCAAGTGCTGTTAGCGAGCACCTGTGAAGGCCAGCACGGCACACAAGGAGGAGGGTGGCCAGCACCACTCAGTGGCGATGTTTACACACCGCACCAGGTACTCATTTGAGGCTGAGGCGACCTAGAAGACGCCCATGCACGATTCAGATAATTGTCACTGGTGGTGGTGGCGGCTGTGAGTGGGAATCGTACTCGGGTCACCGTGTTTGTGGCTCTCACACACACGTGGGATATCAAGTTTTTCCACAACACTCTAGATTTATCCAATTATCTTATGAGTATGCCCGTATATTGGGTGTAAAACCAGTGTATTTGGAACACACCCACGCAAGGCGAACATGGGTTTCCTCCCCGTTCCCTGTGCCTGCAGCTTCTGCATTCTGGAGCTGCTGGAAAAAAGCAAAGGCCCTGCACTGTGCCCGATGTGCAAGGAAACAGTTACCCGGCGGTACGTGCTCACGAGGCTGCTCCCCTGTTCGCTCAGCCGCTCGCCCACCCCATCTGTTTGCCCGCCTATCCACTTGATTGCTCGTTCACCCGCTCGCCTGCACGCTCACCCTGTCGGTCACTCTCGTCACACCAGGTTATGTAATGCTTAAGTTCGACAGTGAACAGTTTTGAATGAACATCTTGCGGAAAGGTGTATCAAAACTACAAACTGTTAGGCGACTGTGCACGTGCAGAAGCTGCAGGCCACTCACAGCAGCTGCGTGCAACTTTACGCGGACACCCATCACACGAAGCGCATTTTCTGTTGTCCTTCCCCCGCACCTCCATTTAGCACAGTTGGCTACGTACGGTGCGAAAGAAGTTCAGAATAAATACACCATTGTGCCATTACACCATCGTGGTCTGGCAGGCGCATATTTTCCGCTTGTTGCAGAGGTTCACAGTTGGAATCTGGCAAGTGCCGTGATTAATACTGCCGGTGTATTAACCAGAAAAATACTACACGCCGTCTGCTCCACAATGAATGTAAAACATCCTGTTGTACGTATGTAAGTTGAACTTCTTTTGCACCGTACATAGCCAACAGTGCTCATCAGAGGTGCGGTGTATGTACGTTGAACTTCTTTCGCACCATACGTAGCAAACCGTGCTAATCGGAGGTGTCTGAAGCCTACCCCTGCATATGTTACATCATTTGCACCGCAATCGGCTGCCTTGGTCTTCCCATTACTGATGTATACACACCATGCCATATGCTCATTGTAAGACCTAGAATAGGACCAGTTCATATATTCACCACTGATGTTATGGACCCCTCACTTGGCAGATGTGGCGATCTCCTACACCGATGGATAAATAAGACTAGCCCAGAGTGAAGCCACGGTCACCCATCTCAAACCGTGGACCACATAGTAACCACCACTGCCCGCGTCAATCATTGATAGGCAGAATTTCAGATCTTCGCCATGGGGATTCTCCTGAAGCCGTCACCTGGCTCACTCGCCAACCTCGACGCAAACGCGTAAACGTTGCCGATCAACCTCAGCCATGTGAAAGACTATTCTTTTCCACCCATCGCCACTCCCATCGCCACAGACACCGTCACCATCACCCGTTTTGCCGACCCGCTCTACCACCTGCTCTCCGACCTCGTTCACCGGCTTGCTCGCCCGCTGTTCGATTGACGAATGAGATTATGTCTGTCTGTGCCGGCCGCCCCTCCCCCACACCCCAACCCAAGGAGCTTGCGGGAGAACCCCATGTTTAAGCAGATTGTGGTCGGGGTGCAGCGTACGATGCAGGCGTTTGAGGAGGACACAGGCCTCCAGTGTGAGTTTATCTCCCCGCGCACCACCCCATCATCATCACTTGTTATGTATACCGCACCTGCCATGCAGTATGTCTCGTGGCACCCTGACGCACGGGACCCCCAGTGGCAGCTTCCCTGTGCAGCAAGGGGTTTTTCTGCCAGTAGCGAGGGACAATGTTGCTATTTGCCAGTTAATTAATTTAAGAGCAAATTTAGACCGTGACCAAAAAAAAACACACACGTCCGACTTTCTTTTGAATAGCGACGTGGGATCTTTAATGTCCGCTGCTTACGTATTAACCGGGGTGGCTGATGGATGTAAACCTCGAACCTCTGCAACAAACGGTGAGCTCGGCCGTGTCATCGTCTTGGTTCCGGCTAAGCACATACAACACGTTAAAGTAAAAAAAGTCAAGCGAAAATCACGTCAACTTCATAATTGTAATCGCAAGGTTGAGAGTTCAAATCCTGTTTCTGTGGGGTTGACTCGGGCCCTAAACCATGTAAATGTGTAATTTCAACCGCCGGCTCAGGACTGTAAACAGGAGATTAGCACCACCTCAGTGCTCATATGAGCAGCAAATCACTTCGAATTTTTAACGAGACGGCACTCAAAAACAAAAATGTTACCGTCCCTGTTGTAAATAAAAAGAACTACATATATTTGTCAACGCTGTGCACTTCAAAATAAATAAATATATTGCCGAAGTTTCGGGGAATGGCCCTTCTTTATAGCACATAATAGGTCAGAGGGATATGGTGGATAATAAGAGTTGGGAGCCTGATCAGAATATATCATAAAAAAAATTCAGATGACCACTTCGTTTGTATTAGCACATGAATAGTTACCTACTAGTATCTTTTAAAAGTTATAAGATGTTGCCGGCACATGGCATTGCAGGTGATTTTCACACGCACGAGTGAGTGCGTGGTATCGCGAGCGAGAGTACCAAGTCGTTAATCTTCGCCATTGTCTGGTCAAATAAAAAAAACTTTTCAAATTCCTCATTGTCACCAGTCACTGCAGTGCCTGGGCCCCCGGAGGTTTCGGTGTGGGGGTCCCCGCAGTCGGAGCCAAACAGGCGTGCGCGCGGCTCCAGACGCCCGCGTACGCTGGGTCAGTCTCGCGCTGGCGCCACCAGTCTTTCGGAGACTGTCTCCTCCCGCCCGAAGAGACAGAGGGCTCGGCCGAACTACGTAGAGTTAGGTGTGTGATACCGCACTGCGCCGCAAATGCACTGCGCTGCGCTGCAATGCACCGTCGTGCATTGCGCCGCGCACTGTGCCACATGGCATCTCGCGCAGCAGTGGAATGCATCGCACGATGCCCTGCACCCGCACTGCACCCGCACTGTACCGCACACTGTACCCTCACTGCACTGCACACTGCACCCACACTGCACTGCACAGCGCACCCACACTGCACTGCACCCTGCACTGTACTGCATTGTACTGCATTGGACCCCAATGCATATTGCACAGCAGAATTCACCACACCACATTGGAAACTGCATCACGCTGCTACGCATCGCATAGCATTACACTGCAACGCACATTGCAATGCATCGGATTGCACCGCACCGTATTGCACTGCACCGCGCACTACACAGCATCACAATGCACTGCATTACAACACAACACGCAACAGTTCTTTAACTTTTTCATATGCCTTTATCATGAGCAATGGTAAAAACAGTAGACCTGCAATTACATATTTATGCCACTGCCTGCAGAAGGGAATGAGTTTTCATACTCGCGTCTTTAGAGATTTGAATAACAGTCGATACCTACTGTACACTATATACAGCAAGATCCGACCATATCCGTCCGGTGCTCGCTCAGCTGCATTGGCTTCTGGTTGCCGAACGAACACATAAGGTCGCAGTCATTACAGACAAAGTCCTTGCCACAAATTAACCACGATACTTTGCTGATCTCATCAAGGACCAGCAACCATCACTTGAACTCCGGTCATCCTCGCAGCAGCTTTTGGCTAACTTTCGAACAAAGATGGTCACCGCATGGCGCGCTTTCAGATGCGATTCTGCGGCCGTCTGGAGCGGTCTTCCTTCTGATATTCGGAAGCCACTGGGGCTATGTACTTTTAAATAATCTAGATTGAAAAACTCGTTTCTTTAGAACTGCTTTTGGCATTTAGTTTCTTCTCCTTCCCCCGCACCTCCCGATTAACATGGTTGGCTACTTAGGGCGCGAAAGAAGTTCAACATACATATGAGGGGAGGCTACTCTCGGCTCGCGCGGCATGCATACGACGGCGTAACTTTCACGCTACACTCATAGTCTCCTTAACCTTGCGTTAACCGTTACAACCCTGCAGTACCCCCGCCTCTCGTTCTGATTGATTGTCGTTTGTTGTGTTCCAGGCCTGGACTCATTGTCGGATGATGGTGAGCCTTGGATCAGTGCCCTTGCTGCAGAGGATGGGTTGAAGAGGTAAGGGCTTAGTGAGTGAACATTTTGCAGGAATGTACAGGTAAGTTGTGTTGTTCTGATGCAGTATCTGTGCGTGTGTGTACACGAGCGGAGGCGGGAGTGTAGTAGTTAGGGTACTGCGCTTTGAACCCGGCAACCTAAGTTCGATTCCCGCTTTCGACAATTAACAGTGGGAAACATTTGAACCGGTTCTGGGCTTATCCTAAGTCAATTTGGCCTTAAATGAGTGGCTGGTGCAGTGCGTAAACATAGGTACTGGAGAGATAAAGGTGGCCGGGCGTGGTGTTGGCTACCCACCTTCTCATATAATTGTATGGTAAATTGTTCATAATAAAGATTTTTGGGTTACATCGCGTAAGTATAAACGTGTCGTAACCCTCCACCACCCGACCACAGCCAGTAAGGTTTGTCACGTAAACAAAATGCGCCAATTAGTTACTACTTCAGCCCACCGGTGTGTTTGAGAGTAAATCCACAACATTTACAATTTGAGTACGACGTTTCACTGGTAATTACATCCAGCATCATCGGGCGATTTGCCCGAATAGTAACTTGGTTTGAAAATGGTCAGGCTGCTGCTTACATCGGCGGCGTTGCTAAATATGAAGAAAGAATTGGCAAGGTGTGGTGGCATCAATGCTTTTGGCCTTGATAAAATATGGATGATAACATCATGATGGGGAGCCGTGGTGGCTAGGAGATGTTAACAACCTCGCCTGGTATACAGGAGGTTGTGGGTTTGATCCCGACCCTGAGTTTGCATGTTCTCCCCATGATCGCGTGGCTTTTTTCTCCGGGTCCTCCTCTTTTTCCCTCTACATTTAGAAATGTGCATTTAGAGTATTTGGCCACGATAAATAAAAAGCTCAGTGAGCCATACCTTGTTAAATAAAAATAGTTTAGTTTAGTAATGATATCGCCCGCTCGTCTATGCATGCAGTTCGTCGTTCCGGCGGCCTCGAGCGGAGCGTGGTGGGGACACGAGGAGCGACGGCGCACGGCAGCGGGGTGAAGCGCCATCGGCGCCGCCCCCACTCGCTGGCGAGTGGTCACGTGACTCGACGGGCGTCGCTGGCGACACCAATCCCAAGATGGAACCCTCGCCCGGTTCTGCCGCACCATCGGGGATCGCGGCTGCCATGGTTCGAAAAGATGATGCAAGCTCCCCGGCGCCGGCAACTGTGAGTGGCGAAATCGCCGAAGAGGTCAAAATCGCGGCGCCACCAGCTAAGAAATCGAAGCGCGTAAGCATCCGGAAGGTGAAGGAGTGGCTGCAGAAGATGGATGTTGCTGGTGAACCCAAATCCGCGTCCACAGACCATGTGGACGGCGCTGATAAAGACGACAATGAGGGTGGCGGTGGCGGTGATGGTGACATGGCTGATGGTGGCGGTGATGGCGCTGCAGACAGCATATCTGGAGGCTCAGAGCGCACGACACTACTGGAGGATCGTTCAATGGAGGTGTCCCCGGTGCCGGTGGTAGTGCCATTGATGGAGCTGGAGAAGCCACTGCTGACTATGAACCCCGGGGACCGGCTTTTCGGCAAGCGCTACGGCCGACGGCACAAGCTGCTACCGCGGGCACGGGTACAGGCGGCAAAGCGCAGTCGTGGGGCTTTGGCGCCAGTCTGTGCTTCTACAAGGGTCGCTGTTGATGGTGCTGGTGGTTCTGGTGGCGTTGTTCGTGTGGTTGGTACTGCTGGCGCGCCTGACGATGCCATCACGGCGGAGATGGGCCAGGTTGCGGCGAGCACGCGCCCTCCGAGCACCGGCAAGGTTGTGGGGAAGCGCCGGCCTCGCCGATCCACGGAGATGTCTCTGGAGGACTTCATACGGAGGGAACCTCCAAGCGCCGTAGCGTCGACCACCGGCTCCGTGCACGCTGTCCGTGAGGATGGCGGCATGCGGGTAGTCAAGACAAGACCCAAAAGGCGAAAACTTAAAAATGAGGCATCCTCTCACATGAAGAATGAAGCTTCCCCGCACCAAGGAAATAATGGTTTGCCCCAAGAACAAGGGGAGAACAATGGGGTACCCCTACAGCAAAGAGAGAATGGTTTTGCCCTTCAGCCAGATACAGATGCATCTCCTAAGCAGGGAGGAGAGAACAGCCCATCCCTACCACAGGATATAAACACTTCTCCCCTGCAGCAGGCAGTGAACGAGACGCCGCTGCAGCCACAGCAGCAGCCGCAACTGCTCAGAAAAAGCGCGTCGGCACAAAAGCGTTCGGCCGCTAAGGTTCACCGGTATCACTCAGTAGGGGACGGCAGCAAGAGCCGGCGCCGTTTGGAGCTGCAGGTTGGTGGCCCAAGCCATGTCAGCTGGGTGCCGGCCTCCATCGAGTGCTTCAGCAGCAGCGAGGACGCCCTGCGAAACTCTCCGCTGCAGGCCAACAAGCGCCGCCGCTCGCTGGGGATTCTGGGGAAGGATGTGCGGCTGGCAGACAACGACGAGGGCCTTGCTCGCCCGCGAGTAACTCCTCCATCCGCCGAGGTCGCCGATGACGGTGCAGGTGGCCTGCACGAGAACCGGAGCGTTTTGCCGGGCCAGAAATTGGCGCGGCTGTGTGACCACAAGTGCCATGGTTCCCCGTCGGTCGTGCCGGAGACACCGTGCTCGCCCGCGTCCCTGCTCCTCGTTGCTGACGGTGCTGCCGGTGGTGGTGTCGTCACGGCACCGGCGCTGGCGAGGAGGTGCGTTGTCTGCCTAGAGAGGATGCCCCCCGGCGCGGTTACCGCGGGGTCGACCGTGGCTTCCCCGCGAGAAGCTCACCGCGCCCGCCATGGAACCGCCACCACCGAACCAGAGCACAAGCTGGGCAGCAAGGATGCTGACTGTTGCGGTGACGAGGTCTCACCGATCGACACGCCGGATGGCCTGCTGGTGCTGCTGGAGGAAGGTGCGGAGCAAGATGGCAGGGTCTCGGAGGGCGGCCGAGAACATGGCGGCGATTGCACGGGGGTGATGGCGGTGACACTGACCCCGGCGGAAACTCTTGTGGAGCGAAGAGGTGGCCCGGAAGAGGCAAGCGGCAGCGGCAGCAATGGCAGTGTGGTCGAGAATAGCCAGTCACTGCTGCACCCTCAGCTCGAGCGCTCAGGGACAGAGGAGGGAGCGACAGGTGCTGGCGAGGCCTTGTCGCTGGTGGACGTTTCCGTTGCATCGCAGATGCAGCAGGGGCTTACGCGCAGTGTGTTAAATTTTCAGCAGGAGCCAACTCTAAATAAGTCAGACTCGCAGCTGGAACCAACGGAAGATAAGTTAGACCCACAGGAGGTACGAATGCAAGATAAGTTAGACACGCACCAGGAAATAACGCCGTACAAGTTATACCGGCAGCAGGAGCGAACGCAAGATGAGTTATGCCCACAAGGGGACCTAACGCAATATAAATTAAACACGCATCAGGAACTAACACCACCTGATTTAAGCGCACAACAGGCATCAATGCCTGATTCATTGCCTCAGCACCAGGAGCCAATTGCGACTACATTGATCCCTCAGCAAGAATCAATGGGCAATGACCTGGACTTGCAGCAGCTGCTAAACGAAGCTGCAAATTTTCCACGTGAGGTGAAAGATGTAAGTAAGGGCGTGGGGAGCGTGGAGGATGGCGTGGTGAGCATGGAGGATAGCGAGGTGGACACACAGGTGGCACTCCTCTCTTTCCTGCCCTCCAAGAGACGCTCGTTCCTCTTGGTGAGTCCTGGCACCTCTCACCAGGTGGGTGTTCACCAATCCGAGACCCACCGGACGGAAGAGCACCAGACCAGCACCCACCGGGGCAGTGGTAACCAAGCCGAGACTCGCGGAGCCGATGAAAAACAAACCATCTCTCGCCACACTGGTGATAACCAAACTATTATTCCCCCAAACGGTGATAATCAAACTGGTGATAACCAAACTATTATTCCCCCAAACGGTGATAATCAAACTGGTGATAACCAAACTACCATTCACCAGACTGGCAAGCACCAAATCATCTCTCTCCAAACTGCTGATAACCAAACCATCACTAACCCAACCGGTGATAATCAAACTGGAGATCACCAAACGATCTGTCGCCAGACTGGTGATCACCAAACCATTTGTCGCCACACTGGTGATAACCAAACTATTAATCAGCAGACTGATGTTAACCAAACCATCACTCACTCGGCCAGTGATAATCAAACTGGTGATAGCCAAATCAGCACTTACCAGAGCGGTGATAACCAAACCATCACTCGCCAAATTGGTGACAACCCAATCAGCACTTCTCAGACCAGTGACAAAAGCAGCATTCACTGGACCGGTCATAAACAAACCAACAGTCACAAACCTGTTGATAGCCAGAACAACGCTCACCTGGCAAGCTTGCCACTACTTAGCACTAATGAAGTCGTCCTCCACCGAGCCGACGCTCACCGCACCGTCACAGACGCGATGTGCGCCCGCTGGGCTGAACCTCCACGTCGCGGTAACCGGCTGACGAAGAGAACCCATGCCGGCAGATGCGCGCGAGGCTCCGGCTCCTCCTGGCGCTCATCCTCACCGTCGCCCGGCCGAGAGGCCACGCTTCGGGGGGGCGCCGGCAGTGGCGACGAGTCAAACGACACGCTCCAACTTCGGCACGGAACGGCGCTGCCCCTCCCGGTTCCGGCCGGTGATGCGGCGCTTAGTCAGAGTGGCACAGACGGCACTCCTGACATCATCATGCCCACCCAGCGAAATACAACCGACAGTCGGCCCGGTTCGTTGGCTGCACGTAGCCATACCAGCGCAACCACTAGCAGCCAGGAAGATTCCAGTGGTCGACCGTCCATCTCGACAATGGCCGACAGCCAGCCGGAGAAAGTAATCGGCAACTCGCCGCTGCTAACCTGCTGTCAGTCCGATATGGTCGTTGGCAGCGGCACGGGTGTGCGTCTTGGGCGGCGGCGGTCGCTCATTCCATGTTGTGAACAGCCGGAGGTGAAAGTGGTCGACAGCTCGCCGTCCATAGCTGTTGACAACAGCCAGTCGGTCGCCGTTATCAGTGTCAGTGACTTGGCGGTCTCGGCCGTGAGCATCTCGCCGCACGTAGCTACTGCGCGAGGCCGGAAGCAGCGGCGGCGGCGGCGGATTAGAGTCATTGTATCATCGTCATCGTCGGACAGCGACTGCGAGGTGGAGCTGCCCAGCCTTGGCGGTATGAAGGTGAAGTGGCAGCAGCAGGGGGGCATGTTGGGGAGCCCACGTGACAAAGGAGGACCCCGCACGTCCCCCCCCATCGGCAGCACCCTCCCCGCGTCGTCCCCTCCGCTCAGTCAATGCTCGACTGCGTCCATGGATCTGTTTGCGTCGCAGTCGGAGGGCTCCGTGTGGGGCCGGCATGGGCCAAGCAGCCCTGGCGATCGAGACGGCGCCGAGGGGCGCGCGGAGGTCGCAGAGGCCACGGGGTTGACGACCTCTGCCGGTCGTCGGCAACCTTTGAACTGTGACCCTGAGTCAGGTGGGGAGGGCAACAGCGCAGCAGAGCCAAGGTCAAGGAGAGGCAAGGATTTATTATTATTATTTGAGCTTTCATAGTTTGAGATGACCGTATATTCTTTGGATGCTAAAACCTCTGAAAAGTGACACGCACCCCAAAACTAGTGCCCACTATCACTTAAACAAATATAGTCACACGCTTATTGGATTTTAAGATAAACCCCCAACTTTTACCTTCAAATAAGGGAAAAACAATTATCTGATGAGCTGGAGATAATGGCATTAAAAGGGGGAGTGGTATCACAGTGGTTAGCACACTGTGGTTTTAATACAGCGGCATGAGTTTGTTTCTCAGCCACGGCTAACGTCAGTGGAGAGTGATATCTGAAACGGGCCTCGGCGCCAGTCTTCACCAACCCTCGCACACGACATGGTGAAGTATGGGTCAAACAACTTGCCAGAGAGCCTTCCACACTTCACGTGGTCCTCAACGTTCATCTAGCCTGGCACAAGCGCCGTGGTGATGTCGCCGCCAACTTAGTGGCGAACTTGGCAGCCTTAATAGGTGCTCGCTAACAACACTTGCCCCGACGGTCTGTGCTCGGTTACATGTGGGATCTTTGTGTTTGCTCGTGCGTTCGTGTGCGCATCAGACGGCATTTTGGAGAACGAGAGCGAGTCGACCGTCATCTGGGCGTCTCAGGACGTCGACTCTGAGGTGAGTCCGAGCCACTCGGATCTGGGGCAGCCACTGCAGCCGCGGCTTGGCCCCGCCGCCTAGGTTGACTCGGCCTACAACAAGCCTCGCCTCAAATGGCGGGCTGGTGCTGCGGCAGTACACCAAGAAGAGCGGTGTCACGCACTCGGAGATCAATTCTCACTCGCACATTTTCCAGAATGCCAAGTCATGCGCGCGAACTTTGGCCGGTTTGTGGAATTTGTGTGCATGACAATTATTACCGGCATAAGGCACTACTGCCAGAGTGCAAGGTACGCCTGTCCATAATCATCCGTCAGGACATCTGGTAAGTCTATACAATACAATACCCGCCATTCGACGCAGAGTGACGGTGACGTCGCCACTGCGCCTGTGCCAGTCTATAATCACTTAACACAACGTTTTTTTGAACATCAGTGCATGAGAACACAGACTGAGAATATTTTCTTGCTAAAATTAGGTACCGCCGGTATACTGAGAAAGACCAAAAAAAGTAAAGGTAATTGGCTATAAACATTTATATGATTGGCTGACTGCTTTAGTTGACCAGATGGAAAAAACAACGACAGACAGTCGCTGACTTGCGAACATCCGCAATTACGAACGAGCTTCCATCATTTATATCTTTAACCATCCGACTTGCGAACTCGCACTTGAGAACCGAACCGCGGCAACTATTTTGGTTCGGTAAATTTACAAATGCACAACATCTCCTTTGTGAGTTGAACAATGCTTCCCTTTTTTGTTGAACCATAACACATTTTATAACCCTCACCGTATATGTGCATTTAAATACCGTACATGATTGTGTCCCGACTTACGAACCGCTCGACTTACAAACGGGTCTCGGACATGGAACCCGTTCGTCAGTCGGGGGGACTGCCCGTACATGAAATCCACACAACTAAGATTCGACTCAACCTCCACGCGTTGTGGTCGACTCGATTAAGACTACGATTGAAGTAATATAGAAAGTCTCACTAAACTAACGCTACCCCCAAACCCGTTCCTTCCCGCACTCCCGTCTCCTCCCGCTGCAGATGAAGCAGGAGCTGATGCGGAACCTGCACGAGATGGGGGATGAGATCGCCGCTTTGGAGGCCGCCCTGGAGGACGAAGACGACTGCGTCCCCTTGCCTCCCTCTCCTCCCACACCTCCCTCGCTTTGCTCTCGTTGGAAAGTCGGCTCGCGCGGACAGACGGCCGCCCAGACGACCTCGCACCGGGATGACGGAAACGGTGGCTGCGAATTGGCCGGCGCTTTGTCGCGTCGCGTGCCGGTCGGCGCCGTCGACCGTGGATCTGGAGGACATGGCGGTCGGGGAGCCGCCTCGCCATCGTGGGAGGCCGAGCGCTCCGACACGCTCTCGGACGCCCGGTGCTACGTAGACACTGCTGCCTCGCACGGCGGCGCTAGCGTTACTTTTTCCGATGTCGCTCACCGTGCGGAGAGGCTCGTTGACGTCGGCAGCACGAAAGAATCCAGCGGGAATCCTCGGCGCTTGTGCCTCGTCGCGTCCGGGCTGAGCAAGCGGGATGCGGTGAGTCGGCGACATATCGTGACGGTGGCTGAGCCCCCCCTAACGCTAAGCCCTCCTCTACTGATGGCTCCACCCACTTTTTAAATTCTTAGAGTTGAGCCAAAACATGTTTATCCAGTATTTAACTGCAGTTAAATTATATAATTTGATCCTGACTAGCTCTGCGATCTTAACATTTACTTGCAAATTCCATTCTAAGCCCCGCCGACTTACCCTTGGGTTGTAACCACCACAAACGTATAAAACAATTGGTTGCAGTAGCTCTCTCGTTACATCTCTTCCTGCCTCAGCAGTCCGCCTGCTGTGTTGTTTCACCTGAAGACGATTGCTTGTGTTGCGATCGAAACGTCGTGATATATTAGTTAATCTTCTACTATCTACGTGACTTTGCCGAAAGAACCAAAGAGTATGCTCATCTCTCACAATACAATGGCCACCTCCACAGCTTCGTTTGTCTAGATTTACCCGATCTTACATTTACATGCAAATTTAATCTCTAGCCCCACCCACTGATCCTTGGGCGACACCCATCTCAAATCTTTATAACTCCCTGCCTTAGCAGCGCTTCCATCATATATTATTTCCTGCCTCAGCAGCTGTCCCGCTATATTTTTCACCTGATGACGATTGTTTGTGTTGCAATCGAAACATCGTGATATTGTTATTATTTGTATTAATTTTATTATTTTTCTATCTACGTGGCTTTACCGAAAGACCCAAAGAATATATATATAATTAGAGTTTAACATTTGTTTACAGTTTGTTTAACATTGACTGTGCCATGCCCCCCCACCCCCCGCCTAGAGTTGTTGTATGCTCCCTGCCGTTGTAAACAAGATCCTGCTATCAGAACGGTTACAATTATTTTTATTTCTCACAATTTTGAGTGGCGGTTGAATCCGCAGTTAATTGTGTGTGCCCTGGCCCCAACATCTTTGTCACCTCCTCACATGCTCTGAATGCCTCAGTAGACATAATAATAATAGTTCTCGTAACAGCCTGGGCAAATCTTAGTTTTTAACACTTACGGTTGAAAGCATTTATTATGCGTTGGCTCTGAGAGCCCGGTTCAATCGTGAGCGGCTGAAACCCAGATTCGAATTCGACATCTCAACGGTGCTGGCTCATTGCTCTGATCACCGAGCTACATGCCCACCTCTTGACTTTAAATTTAATATCAACGCATTCCAACTAAGTTTCAAAGTGTTGTCGCTATGGCGTCATCTCTTTGTGCGACTACAAATGGCGCATTATTATAATCTCTCTGTCCGTGTCTCTCTGTCTGTAACAGGGGTCACAATATGTTTTCCTAAATGATGATCCAATATAAAGAACATTTTAGTGTAACGTTTTGTTCGTATCGGAAACCGGCCGAATTGACAACGTAAGCCTTGTCAGCCAAGGCGATGATGATGAAGATGATGCCGTAATGCGTGATGTCGCAAGATGATGTCATGCGTGCGTCTCTTCTCACCTCATGACGTCATTACGTGCGATCGTCGTCAACTCTTGCCCGAAGCGACACTTCAGCAGACCTCGAATGTGCCAACGACACCACCACCCGATGCTGATTACATGGCTCGCAACACCTCGATATCCAAGCTTCACTTTTCGCACAATCTAGCCTACGCCAGAAGCCAGCTTTTGTTGTGCCTTGTTTTAAACACTCTACGGTGGAGAGATGTTAAGTACCTTGCCTGATACACAGGAGGTTGTGGGTTCCAACCGGACCCTGACGCCTGTATATTTGGATTTTGCACGTTCTCCCAGTGGTCGCGTGGATTTTTATCCGTGTCCTCCGGTTTTTACCTCCACATTTAGAATCGACGTGCTTTTAGGTTTATTTGGCCCCTGTAAATTACCGCGTGATCAGCCACTTAGTTGAGCTATAATTTGGTCGCTTCTGAAAAAGAGCTGCATAGCTCCAGCGGGCCTTAGCTGCTAAAATAAAAAAAAAGTTTAAATAGTAAATAGTGTGTGTGTCTTTGTCCCACAGCTGGTGGTCGAGCGGTTTTCACATCAGGCCGGCGGTTGCTTCCAGTCGCACTTCTCTCCTGAAACGACTCACGTGCTCATGCAGACAGGTGCCAGCCTTCGACAGGCACCCCCCCCCCTGCCACACCACGCACACACGGCTCACCGCCCGCCAGCCGTTCTCTGGCCACCGTTGGGTAAACCTGTCACGGCTCGCTCCGCTCACTCGGGATTTAGACGAATTGTCTCGTAACGTAAACGGCGAACTATTTAGAATTGGCGACGTGCACAGTTTTCATTCGCCCCGAGAGAGAAGTGAGAGAGAGGATGGTTCATGGGCGCCGGAAACCCGAGACGAGGGGGAGGCCAACAAGAACCGGTGCCAACGTTTGTCCAAGCTCTGTGGTCCTACATTGGGACGTTTGGTCACCTTCATCGATGATTCGCTTTATGCATGTGGGAGGAAACCGGAGTGGCCGGAGAAAACCCACACGTGTTCAATCCCCCGTAAATGCATCCGCTTGCTCTGCCGCCATCGTACCCTGGCAAGCCGGGAGATATGGTGACCTTGACGCACACGGGTAGGGGGGGAGGGAGTTTCGTCAATTGGTGTTATCCATCAACCCTAGATTCGGGACTACAATTCGATTCAAGAAGCGGTTCTTTTTCAACATCGTGCTGCATTGTAGCGCCTCTTGTGGCTGCAGGGATCTGTGTGTGTGTTTGTGTCAAGAGTGTGTGCTTGTAATTCTGTGACAGTGTTGCGATTGCGTTTGTTTGACAGTGTGTGATTGTGGTGACGTCAACCACCTGCCACTCGGTGGCAGACGGTCGTTGTTGTTGTCGTTGTGATTATCTGATCGTGTGCGATTGCGTTTGTATGACGGTGTGTGATTGTGTTGGATCACCATGTGTGTTCAGGCGCCACAGTGAAAGCTGCGTTCTTGTCCTCGTCGCTAGGTGGCAGCCTGGTTTGTGAGCGCACGTTGAAGTATTTCCTGGGCAACGCAGGACATTGCTGGGTCCTCACCTTCTCTTGTAAGCAAGCACGCCGCCTCACCTATGACCCCTCCACGCGCTCTGAAATCCTGACCATGGGTCCCTGACCTCGCGAGAGACGAGTGTTGTTGTTCAGCCAGACTTAGTACCTGGATCGCAGGGTGGTGGAAAAGCAATTTGCAAGTGTGCGCCAATGTTTGCCCGTGCCATAGCTCGCATCTCGTCCAGTCAAAGTCAAGACTAAAGTTTATACATTCTCAAACGAGCACTTGTCTCAATTTGGCTGCCCTGAGCCAGAGGTAAAAACTCGACATTAACATGGCAGGAGCCATTCTTGTCATGTTGACCATTATGGCACGGATGAATATCCCACCAAGTGGTGCTGGTTTCTCTGGATTATAAAATGCTCTGGAGAAGTAAGACGCACACCAAAACCTGTGCTCCGGTGTCTTTAAAGTTGTCACAAACATGCACACACCTACCGGATTGTAAGTCGCACTCCTAACTTTCAGAGAAAAAAGTGTGTTTTACGTCTGCCTTGGTTTTCTGGAGGCAGAGGTAACACGATACTTGTGTTACCTCTGCCTTGGTTTTCGCGGTTATGCCATACAGAGCTTCGATGCGTTTTTGGGTCGTGCTGTGTGTTTTTCCAGCACGATGTCCGACGTTCCGCTCCGAGATCTTGAAGAAGCTCCTAGCACGTGGAGCGAATCGTCGGACATAATTTTGAACATTCTAGATTTCAAGTTTTCGTGACTGCAGGGATCCATACTCTTTGGTTCTTTCGGTAAAGTCACGTATGTATAAAATAAACGTCGTGATTTAATTTATTTTATTGTCTACCTACGTGACTTTACCGAAAGAACCAAAGAGTATAATTTTGAACAGCTCGCGGAGAGCCGCTGCTTATTTGATTCACCCTGGAGGAGTGAGCGGCTGAGTCGACCCGCGACCTTGAATTGAACTTTAATCCTTCCGACCTAGTATGCAGCCAATTAGTTAGGTTTGTCACGTAAACATAACGTGCCAATCCGTTACTAGTACAGCACACCGGTAATGTTTTGAGAGCAAATCCACAACATTTACAATCTGAGTACGACGTTTCGCCGGTCATTACAACTAGCTTCATCAGGCTGTCGTGCCTCGTGCTGTTGCAGGGGTGGAAGAATGTCTGCGTCAAGGCTGCATCGTGGATGAGGTGAGTGTGCGCGTGTGCTGGACATCTTTGAAAAAGAGCTTCATAGCTCGTCCTTCGAGATTGATAATGATACTGAAAGATTCCGAATGCCCTGTGAGTCTATATACATGCGCGTGGGTATGTGGTGTTTGTGGGTCAAGGGTAAAAATCCTTGACCTTTGCTTGTGTGTGTTTATTAATACCCTGGGAGTATAGAGAGACATGTGTGGGCCTCTCGACTTGGGGGTCTAGCCGTGTGTCTGTGCGTGTGTTTGTGGCACAGTAGGGGGCACAAGTGGTGCATCGGTCAGCCATCTCAGTTGACCCATGGCATCTGGGTCTGTTCCGTGACCTGCCAGCGGGTGTTCGACACTTCACTTGGCCTGAATGTGCATATAACCTGGCACAAGCGCCATGTTGACGTCACCGCCACATAGTGGCGAATGGCGGTCGTTGTCGTTGTGTAAGCCTTTGGTCTTTGTGTATTTATGAGTGTTTCTTTGAGTGTTTGAATACTTTGAGTCTATGGAAATAAGCATGTATCGCTGGTCGTAGTGTGTCTGTCAATGTGTGGGGAGCCATAGCGTGCTGCTGTGCTGTGAACCCGGTGATCCAAGTTCGATTCCCGCTTACAGCCAATACCAGTGACAATTTTCTGAACTGGTCCTGGGCCTCCCCTCAGTCGACTGAGCCTAGAATTAGTACTTAGTACTGTGCGTAAACATCGCTACTCAGGAGACAAAGGCGGCTGGGCATGGTGCTGGCCACCCACCCCCTTGTGTGCTGTTCCGGCCTTCATAGGTGCTCGTGAACAGCACTTGCCCCAAAAGTCGGCTAAGGCTCTATGAAGGATTTTTGTGACTACTATGAGTCTATGGATATAAGCATGTATCACTGCTCTTCGTGTGTCTATGAGTGCGTGGGAACCCAAAGAGTATACAGTTTCATGATATAAGCCTTTGCTCTCTGGTCTTTGTGCGATTCCCCGCAGGCCCCGTTTGAGATTCAGGGCGACGTAGTGAATGGTCCCGACCACTTGGGGCCCCGTCGGTCACGGCTTGCAACTCTGAAGGTGGGATCTGATGTCTGACCCTAGACACCTATCCCTTATCCTTAGCCCTTACCCTAGCTTCTGCCCCTCAACCGCTAGCCGTGGCTGCTAGCCTTAGATTATAACCCTGAGTACAGGGGTCGGCAACCAAAAATAACAATAAGAGCCATTTTTCTTTCGAATTCGGTAAAAAAAATCTATATTTCAGGAGCCTCAATGTCAATTCCTGCATATGTTACATCACGAAGCAGTCCGTAAAGTGCAGCGTGCGGCTCCTGAGCTGCAGCTTGCCGACCCTTGCCCTTGTACCTGGTCCTAATTCAAGCTAGCCTCACGCGTGGACCTGAGCGGTGACACGGTCTAGCGCAGTGGTTCTTAACCTGGGGTGCACGTACCCCCCCTGGGGGTGCAAGATGACCTTTCTGGGGGTGAGAGAGATGGCCGGATTTTTTTCGAAGGTAAATCATTGAAACTCAAATGAAGCATGGCACGCAAGTTCAACCGCTTTGTTTCATCAAACCCCATGTACGTATTAACATTATACATGATGTTTTAACGATTGAAAACCAAAGGGATGCAAGGCTGCGGTAAAGGTGAAGAACCACTGGCCTAGCGGTAGCGCATTCGCCGTTTGTTGCAGAGGTTCGCAGTTCGAAACCAGCGGCCGCCCCTTATTATTTCCGCAGCGTGTAGTAATAACCATAGTGATACTACGCGCCGTCCACTTCACAGTGGATGTTAAAGATCTCCCGCTTCGTCATTCGCAAGAGCAAGGCAAGAATGCGTGCCGACGTTGGGGAGCTAAATTTGCCAGCTTGGAAAGTTACGCCATTAATCAGCCGTGCGTATTCTACGCGCGGCATAGTCCGGCGAGACTAATGCTCCGGGTCACTCTAAAATTTTAAGCTCAATCAACTTGAACTTCTTACCTTCCTCATCCTCCAAATACACCAAGCCGTGCCAGTTACCCAAACTAACCACCAACCCTATTCTCTTAACCGATAAGTCGAGCTACGCGTCTCCTCTGACCCGTGCCACTTGCATGTAGCACGGAGCGCTGTTGTGGTTAAATAACTAAATAATGATTCACCTCCTCTCGAATGATGTGTTAGTTTACTTATACTTAACACTAAGATGAAGAATTAGCATTTGTTGTCGGGCACTTAAATGCCGCGGCATTTCATCGCACCTTGCATCGCATTACACCTCAATCATTCCAATGCCCAGGCGTCCGGAGTAGTTTCTGTTTCAGCCTAGGGGGACCCCCCCCCCCCGATGGCAGCAGCTGTCCCTGTGCAGCACGAGGTGAACGCAGCGCCGGCCTGTGTGTCCGTAGTGGGCGACTGTTGTTGGTGTTGGTTATCAACCCTGGTACCGCGCGGTTATCAGCTGTGTGCGGGGAGGTTGTGTGTATGTACTGGATGTACATTGAACTTCTTTCGCACCGCACGTAGCCAACCGTGCTAATCGGAGGTGCGGGGTGGGGGAAAGGCTGTTGTGCTGTGGCGAGGGCACACGGTGACGCGCATTTGTGCTCTTGTTTCCCGTCCCAGCTGCTGCGGGAGTTTGAGATCTGCTGCTACGGTGCCTTCAAGGAGATGACCAAAGGTAGGCTGTGGTGCGGGGGGGGGGGGATGAGCTTCACGCATTTCGAAAATTTGCATCTTGTTCTGAGTTTGGGAACGTCGCGTGACGATTGAACGCGCCTTAGCGGACAGGTGACATCGCCCGCCGATACGCCGCGTGATACCACTGTTGGCAGGGGGAAAAAAAAAAGGCGGATGTGACATCGTGTTTACGGTGCCACTTTTTGGTGTTGTCGTGTGACTCAGCATTGAAAACAGGTTTGATTTGGATCATCCCACATTTGTCATATTTGGTCTAATTTTTAGATTCTTCAGATTAATCTTAAAATCCGGAATGCGTCGCGAGTAGGCGAGGCAAAGACGACGGCCTTATTAAGTTTGAGTTCTTTCCCCACCCCTCTCCTTAGACTGTACTATCGGGGTCTCATCTTGAGACGGAGTATCCGTTGAGATCTCTCGCAGAATCGAAATCTTCATGTATCCTGGAGGTGGAATCTGATGAGCTTTGAAGCTCTTTTTCACAGATGTCCAGTAGGGACGTGTCAGCGAGTTACGTAAACAGAGAGTGTAAAAAACGATATAAGAGCAAGATAGGGAAAAGGTAATGAAGTCGCTGCGAATAAATACATAAAAAATAAGTGCAAATTGGACAAGGAAATACCTGCAGATTTAAATACAAGCTTGGGCAAGGCAGCAAAACAACGAAAAACGATCTGAGACCATACCTAGAGAACAGCTCACAGAACCAGATATCGCATGTTCCCCAGGCCTCGTTTGAGATTTATGGGGACATAATAACCCCAAAACGGGTGCTGGGAGGCGTTCATCCAGCGGTGGATTGACAAAGGGCTGTCAATTATTTATGCTGGCAAAGGTTCAGCTAATTGAGCGGTGGCCAACATGTGGTTCACGATCCGTGGGTGGCTTGCAAAATATTTTTTTTGTGGAATTCAACACAAATCTGAACAATCACTGACATAAGCAGACAATACAACATTTTTTGTGAGCGGCTGATAACAAATAAAAATCCCCGACTGAGAATTAATAGATTAAAAAAAATATCTTCTTCCAGTAGATGGCGCCTTGTATATTACATGGTCCATGCCATTCGGGTAATTGTTGGTCAGAGCTTTCTGGCTTATCACGAGCCGCTTGAGATCCAGCAAAATGTATCGCAGTGCTGAGTTTTAACCTTTGAACGCCGCAGGCTGCAAAAATAAAACGACCACCACCTCCGATTCGCACCTCTGATTTGCACAGTTGGCTATGTACGGTGCGAAAGAAGTTCGACATACATACCACCACCACTGTCATCATCAATAATCGCAGATATATCTACGTGTGTATGTTGAACTTCTTTTGCACCGTACGTAGCAAACTGTGCTAATCAGAGGTGCGGGGGAAGGCAACAAACTAAACACAAAAAAGCAGTTCTAAAGAAATTCGTTTTTAATATAGATTTAAAAGTGCATAGCTCCAATGGCTTCCTAATATCGGAAGAAACAGCATTCCAGACAGCCGCAGAAGCGCATCTGAAGGAGCTGAGCGATGCGCTGACTGTCTTTGTCCGATGGCGTAGTCAATATATCCACTACTGCGAGGATGACTGGAGTTTGCGTGATGGTTTGTGCTCCTTGACGAGATCAGCAAGCTATTGTGGTTCATTTGTGGCAAGCACTTTGTGTGTAATGAATGCCGAATAACGGGCGAGGACCGGCGTGTTTGTGTGTCGCACAGCGGAACTTGAGTGTCTGGTTCAGATGAGCGGAGCCGTGCTTGTGAAGGAACCGAGTGCTTTCTCCTTCCATCCGGTGAGTGTTCCTGACTCTCTGCCTTCCCTCCAGAAGCTGTAGCATCATCATGATCAAGAGCAGCAGCGGTGACATCGTTCATTGTCATTATTCGCCGCAGTGACATCATTATAGGCAGCTCTAGCATTGTCATAATCATAGGCAGTAGGAGCATCATCGGCAACACCTTCATAATTGTCTTAACATCATCTCCGTCGTCACCATCATTTGCAGCAGTAAAAACTACACCATCACCACCATCAGTACCTGAAGTAAATTTCATCCTTAACAGCAAGCGGCTTTCCTGATCGTCATCATCATTGTTTACCTCATCAGCAACAGCGGCATGAGTTCCTCATATGTTTGGTGGGTTTCCTCCAGGCACTCCCATTGCCTCCCACGTGAGGTAAAGCTCTTGCCATTAACAAAAAGGACTTGGGCCAAACCCTCTTCACAACCACATTCTCCAAACTCAATTAGGCTCTCCTTAGTATATTAATTATATTTATATTGTTCTATGCTGGACAAAACACAACCCGTCGCTCTGTTGTGCCGCTAATGAGCATCTACTGCGGTGGGACGGGCGCAAATGTGAGAGCGGCTGAAGTGACCGGTACCGCGTGTGCCCTGGCCCCAATTTTCCTCCCCATTGTAGCCACTGTTCATCACCTCGCTGCCTCGCCAGCCGATCGTTTATGGCCGCGTCAACATAGGGGGGAAGGCTCTGCCACGCTCGTGTATACCGCTTACTACTGGCGCTGTGCATCAGGACCAGGAATCGAACCTGGGAGGACTGGGATTGTAGCGCGGAAGTTGAACCTGCGGCAACAACAACAACAACGCTTGGCCGCCTTTCTACGTGCACAGAACAGCCGCCAATTTGCGGCCGAGTGGCAGTGATGGCACCACGGGGCTTGTGCCAGGCTAGGTGCTCTTTGAGGCTTATCACGTGAAGTGCAGAAGGCTGGCTGGCTCGCCGGCAGGAGGTCCTGGGACAGACCCATGTGTTATAGGTCGACTTACTGAGATGACTGGCAGATGCACCACCTGTGCCCCCTACTCTGTCAATTTGCTGTGATTTTAGAGCACGCGCACACACACGCACACACACGCGGACATACACGCATGTGCATTCTTAAGGCTTTAGCACTACGTGTGTTCCACGCACGACCACAACGTTTTTATATTTTCCGCTTTACCGGTGGGCGGTTTGCGGTGTGTCTGCTGAAACGGCGAATTGTCTCTAGTTCCCCCGTTTACTCAGTCCTCTCCCATCTCACGTATCCCGCATCGAGAATTCCATTTCACCGGTGCCCTGACGAACACTATAATATTGGTTTCATTTTGTTACTCTGCCCCCAATAACAGCGGCGAATATCTGGATCGGTCCCGGGCCTCCCCTAGGTAGACTCGGCCTTAAATACGTACTTGGTGCAGTGCGTCCACATCAGCACTGGGGAGACAAAGGCATCCGGGTGTGGTATTGGCCACCCATCCCACAATGTGCTGTGCCAGCCTTCATAAGTGCTTGCTAACAGCTCTTGCCCCAACAGTCTGCTAAAGGCCATATGGGGGATATATATGTGTGTGTGTGTGCGCAAGTTGGCTGTGCACGCGCGTGTACACGTGCGCGCACGTGTGTTTTTTTTTTTTGCGTACGTGCAGAACTTTGTGCCGCTGCTGGTCGTGCAGCCCGACGCCAACCCGGCCGGCATGGACTTCACAGGTAAGCGAGCGGGCCACACGTTCCGCTCCAGCGTGGAACCCACAGCCCCAGCGGGAACCCAGAGCCATCACGCCTGGGGCTGTGGGTTCCGCTCCAGCGCGGAACCCACAGCCCCAGCGGGAACCCAGAGCCATCACGCCTGGGGCTGTGGGTTCCGCTCCAGCGCGGAACCCACAGCCCCAGCGGGAACCCAGAGCCATCACGCCTGGGGCTGTGGGTTCCGCTCCAGCGCGGAACCCACAGCCCCAGCGGGAACCCAGAGCCATCACGCCTGGGGCTGTGGGTTCCGCTCCAGCGCGGAACCCACAGCCCCAGCGGGAACCCAGAGCCATCACGCCTGGGGCTGTGGGTTCCGCTCCAGCGCGGAACCCACAGCCCCAGCGGCAACCCAGAGCCATCACGCCTGGGGCTGTGGGTTCCGCTCCAGCGCGGAACCCACAGCCCCAGCGGGAACCCAGAGCCATCACGCCTGGGGCTGTGGGTTCCGCTCCAGCGCGGAACCCACAGCCCCAGCGGGAACCCAGATCCATCACGCCTGTGGCTGCTGCGCTTGACTCGCACTGCGACGGCATCCTCGTCTGACTGACCCTCTCGTGCCGTGACGCTGCCTGCTGCTGTATGCCTCCCGTGTTCCTTTCCCGCTTTGCTGCTCCTGCTTGCCCCTTCCTTGCGTACATGCCGCGTGTTGTCCCTCGCATCCACGTTCTGTCTCCCCTAGACTCCGCGTGCTCTCCCGACCACTGTGTGCTATTGTGCCCCCCTAACCTCTGGTGATTTGTTAGAAAATCGCCGCCGTTCACGCTCGAGATTCCATTCAAGAATCCATTCTATATATTTCAGCATTGCAGTGACCGGGTAGCACCTCTAGCGGCTGCCGGTGTGACACGAACCCATTACGTGCAATGTATACGAATCGAGAGCCATTCAATCTTGACCCACGCATCCTAGGAATCGACAAACGGTTCATCCCAGGCCTGCTGTCGTCTCTCTTCGTGCGACGTCCCTCGTTATCTCCTCGTGCCGACTCTTAGCTCTGTGTACTGCCTTGACTCGGCGGTGCCGTCCTTGACCTCCCTGTGCCGCCCCTGACCCCCCTGCGACCCCGCCCCCCCCCACAGCCCTGCACCGCCTCTACAGCGCCCAGATGGTGACGCGCGAGTGGGTTCTGGACTGCATCGCCACGCACCGTGTGCGTCGTCTCAACGCATACCTCCTGTCCCCCCACACCGCGCCTCGCCAGGAGTCCCCATAGCCGCCCCGGTGTGCCAAACCGTGCCGCCCCTCCCCCACCGCTGCCATCCCGGGGATGCTGTCCGTCGACCCCCAGCGACGGCACCCCCCGTCCCCCCTCTCCTCCTGTCCGTCCGTCCGTTCGATCGATATTTCCTTTGAAGCTACGCGATTCGTAGTGGTACCCTTCTCACCCTGGTTGCCCGCCACCAGACCAGAGCATTAACGGTAACGTCCTGGACCTAATTTCTTTTCCCTGAATATTTTCCGGGTTGCCGGCATCGATGGGAGTGGACGTCCACGTGACTCGTCGTAGCCACAGCCATAACGAGAGGTATATACTAGATGTTTGTGTGCGGGGTGCAGGTGTATTTTGTGTTCAGACAAACGGAGCTGAAAGTCTTAAGTTCTGCTTGTAACGTCCGGAGCCGCGCTTCACGTGTCGGTGGGACGGCAGGTCGTGGCGATTGCTCGCGAGAGAGTGCCCGCTGACCTGTGGGAAAATCGCCACGGTCATTCGTGTACGGCGGAAACTGTCGTCATGTGTGCCGTGGCTCTATACCCAGGGGTGTTACCCCACTCTTTCCTTCACTTGAATATGCGTGTTGTATGTTAACCTTAAGTGGGTTTTTTTTGTTGTTGCTTTAATTTATAATGATAACATTCCATTTTTGTGACCAGCAGAGGCTGAATAAATCTCAAGGACTCTTTTGTATTTTCACGAGGGGGTCCTCCGTGGGATGTTTTGTTCATTTTCTTGTCCCGTGTTTTGTTTTTCTCTTGCTTAGAAGGAGAGTACCTTAGATAGAACACGAAGCTTTAAACAATCTGGATAGATAGGTCAGCAACCTACTTTATATCTGCACTGCCACATTGAGGCCATGTTGCAGCCTTGACGGGTTGAGGCTTGACCGCACGGTTTCTGACCACAGGCCCAAAAATCCCTTGCGACCTGCACACAAACATGCCTTTAATCTTGCAGTGGCTCACACAAACTTGCCTTTAATCTTGCAGTGGCTCAACCCAACGGTTGGAAAGTATAATGATCTGATACCTTTTTCTTTGCTTCACTTGAATTTGTTTTGGTTCTGTCTGGCTTTTGTAATTTTGGTGACTCAAAGGTCACTCTTTGCAAATGGGACACTAAGCCCTGGTGTCTTGATTTCTCACAACCGGGTTACGCAAAATCAACTTTGAAACGTTGTGCCAATTGTCAGTGACACCGTCGGATTTTCAGAAAATCTGCAGTTTTTTTCTAGGCCATTAAACATTTTTTTTTGCCAAATATTACCCAGGAATTTCTCTTCCTGCCAACACGTGAATAATGCCAACCTCGGCATCATGCACAGTCATTATTAGTTGGGCAGAAGTTGTGGAGTCTCGGGTCTCCATCGGTCACCGGATAATAAGTAACTGGATAATCATTCTGCCTCTTCGTTTGTTGTCACATGGTGCCTTGCAGAGATAAGTAAATTCTTTTTTGGAAAGGCAACAAGCGTTTTAAAATTGTCTACGTTCTTTTGCCGTGCTATATTGAATTACTTTGGTGCTACCGTTACAACAATAATTACTCAGTCTTGATTTGAAGCTTTCGTGACTGCAGGAATCCATACTCTTTGGTTCTTTCGGTAAAGTCACCAATGAGTAATAATTACTCATTTACCTAGGAATGTCATGCTGAATTTGAGGACCCCCATTCCAGGAGGGGGTCCTGTGTTTGGGGGTTTGTTTGGCCAACACCAACGACATTGAATGTTCTTCGCTCTGGGAAGGAAACCCACAGTGGGGAACGTACAAATTCCACGCAGAAAGGTACCCGCGTCGGGAATCAAACCCAGGTGCTTCTCGCTGAGGAACGCTGCACTTCCGCCCCTGTCCATGGTTCACTGGTCTAGGTGGACAGAATCCGAATAAGCAAGCAAGGTATCCTTCCCATATGTGTCTCCACATAATAAAATTAAGATTGTTTTACATATCACATCAGTAGCACGGCCTTCTGAGAGTGCATACAATTTCAGCAGAAATGGTTCAGTGTCTCTATCAGCAGAGTTCAGTTTGCTTGAACCAATATGCCGGTGAACGGAAGAGTTCCGTATGTGCTCCATCGGTCTGCTCCCACAGGCTTGTCTCTAATCAATTACTGGGTTGAGAGTTGCTGGCAAATTATTCTCCTCGGTTAACTTGTCGCAGTGCATGTTGGCTTCAGTAGACCCGCGTATGCACTAAAGCACAAAAAAGAGCACCTGGGGTGCGCGAGTAAGCAAGTCGAGGATTTGTGTTTTTTTTTATTTGAATGAAATTGGCAACGAAGTGCATCTCCGTGAAGTCGGCAACAGCAGCAGCAGCAGCAACATAAGCAACAACGCCACAACGACCATTGTACAGACGGCACGTGGGGCAACGCCGACAACAACTGCAATTGCTAGATTTCGTTCAATCGGGAAGTCCTTAAGTGTTTTAGTGCTCTTAATTTAATTTCTACGCGGCAAATATCCACTTGAGCTGCCAGTTGCAACCGCAAATGGCACTAAACCCTCGCTTGTTTTGATTTGGGTTAAGGCGCAGCCCCCGCAATTGCTCCCTCACGCTGCCGCTGCTGGCGGAAGAGCCTCCGAGTAGAGGGAAGATCTAGGGCGCTCCTGCGCGAGGGTATTTGCGTCCCCAAGTTTTTATGCACCGGTCAGATCTGGGAAAAGGTAGGCGCATACAACCCACACTTTACCCCAGCACCTGTCGACCAAATAAACTGTTGTGTACCCAGTTCATGATAACTGTAGAGTGGACAGGTGGTGGTGGTGGGAAGTGTGCGGGATTTAAGGAAAACTTGCACCATTGTCTCAACGAGGTTGAAAACTTCATCTTTTTTTCCAACAGTTTTGTGTGTGTGTGTGTGTTGTCCCTCCCCCAGCAGCTCCGATCAGCGCGTTTGGGCTACGTACGGTGCGAAAGCAGTTGAACGTACAAAAGCTACAGCTTCCGTGCCGGTAGATCGGATAGAACTGGCGACCCCTGGATTTGCGTTTCCGGCGAACTCGCCGCGACACCACGGCACGGACAAATTGAATGCTGGAAGCGCTCGCGGGGGAGAATTCTTGCCGTTGCGCTCGAGTGAGTGTTCAGACTCGCATCTTAAATCCGAGGAGATCGCAAACACCTCAACGACGGCCGATGCCTACTGTGCACTATATGCGAGGGGTGGCAACGACCTCATTACGAAACCGTCCGCGATGACCCAACACCCTCGATGTAGCGCGTCCTTAACTCTTAACGCTCGACAACAACAAAAATTCGTTAACGCAAACATTGGCGCAATCGTTTCGGTGAAGTACAGGACCAGTATAATCACTTGCATTGCTCAAGAGGACTGAGACCTGTTGGCGGCTTGGGAGAAGCCTTCATCCAGCAGTGGAATGATCATGGCTCATTGATTTCCCTGCTCAAACGAGCATCTATGCATTGGCGCAGCTCATCTCCCGTTGACAGCCCAGAGCCGGTGGTGAAAGAGGTCAGATTGGTGAACAACCACGTGCCAATGCTGCTCTGGGTGTGGTCGGTTAATTGGTCAGGACGTATATGTGACGGCCGGTTATGCGATGCTCTACTGGTATTAAGATTCGCTTTCGGTATTAAGACTCGCTTTCAATAGAGTTTCTGGTTGTGATATTTGGCCAAATATTTTTTTGTAAAAGTCAGCATTGTGTTCGGGCCCATAATATTGATTGCAAATGATGGGACTGTAGTGAAGGTGTAGGCTTATAAACTGTCGTAAATGTAGAATTTTTTTTATTTATTTAGTACTTTTTAAATAATTCGACGCGATTTTAAAACGCATGTTGTTTGTGCATTGTCCTGGAATCGCAAAGTCGTGTAGTACATTCGATAGCTGCTTTTGCATTACATCGCAATAACTTAACTTAATAAGGCAACGTCGCAAAAACACGAGTATAGGTAACGTATCGCATGAACACTAGCCCGGCACTTACCCGGGTTTCACTGAGATACGTTCTAGCTTAACTAAATAGTGTCAGGGACACGCATTGAACCCGCCCTCTCTCCGTCTCTCTCGCTCATCTTGGTCTCTTAAACCAACGCCACACAAAGACAAAGATCCCCCTCCTCGCCATGTAGCCTTTGAACAGACTTATTGGGGCAAGCACTGTTAGCGAACACCACTGTGAGGTTGGCAAGGCCCACCGGTGGGTCATATGGCGACCACCATGCCCGGCAACCTTTTGTCCTTCCGCAGCGCTGATGATTGCACATCACACCGGGGTACTCGCTCAAGGCCGAGTCGACTTCGATGGGAGGGGGCCGGGACCGGGTCCGCAGCAACACTGCGTCACGTGCGTGCCCTCAAGTCGGCAAAGTTCCACGGCCACCGTCCTCCTTTGAGTTCGTCCGTTGCATCTCCCTGCACCCTGCGACCGTGTCAGTCGATTGCCGCTTTCTCCTTTTTTCCCCGTTCCGTCGTCGTCTTTGCCTCGCTCGTTCCCTCCGTTTTTCTTTCCACCCGTCCCCGACGGCGGCCTGTGGCCGTTTGCCGAGTGTGCAGGCGGTGCAACTCCGCTAGGGCCCCTGTTTGGGGGGCCCGGCCGGAGGGCGGTGGCGCGGCCGGAGGGCGATGGCATGTCCTCTCTCCGATCGGTCGAGCGGAGACGTCCTCCCTAAACCACCCACCCCTGATGCCACCCTAAAGATCTCCCGCGCTTGGAGATTAAGTTCAGTCGGCACACCGCGTCCAGTATACCTCCTACCGCTGTGGCAACTATCAGTCTCGTGCACCTTACTCAACTTTACCGGCGATCCGGCACACCTCTTGCTATGTCTACGACTAGTCACTGGCCACTTCAATAGACCAGGACTGGGAATATATTCAGTGAGGAATTAAGCCCTGCCCAAGCCGTTGGGGGCGAGAGAAGCTTTAGGCCTGCCCGCTAGGGTTGCCACCCGTCCTGGTTTTCCCAGGATCACCCCCTCGTTTTTTTTTTAGACGAGCTGTCCGGGGTAGTCTGTCGGTCTTTCCAGAACAAAAAAACTAACACTAAAAAGTCCTGGCTTTTGTCAGGTGTCTGACAACGGTACACCCCGAGACAATGCGTTGACCTGTCATTCTCCCCCCCCCCCCACCCCTCTCTCCGGCATTGTCGCACGTACTCCTTCCTATATAATAAGTCCCGTTTCTTTTTTATTCGAAATTTAGAGAGCGCAGGCAACCCTACCGCCTGCAAAGCCGCCCCCCGCTGATCCGCGGGGGGCTTAAGCCAGCTTGTGGTGGCGCGTTCCGGCGTCGAGCAGGTGGCGCAGCGTGTACGGCAGCAGCGCCAGCGCGCTGAGCGGCACCAGCAGGCTCTTGCAGAACGTAAGCACGTAGAACGCCAGCTCGTCGTCGCTCGGCACCTTGACCCCGTCGTACAGCCGCAGCGTCACCACGGCGGCGACGGCGCAGACGGCGCGGAACGCCGGCGCCTCGCCGCGGGCCCCCGCCAGCGCGTCGCGGTGCAGCCCCGAGTTGAGCGCCAGCCCCGTGCCCGCCAGCACGCCGAGGTTGCGCACGAGGCCGGCGAAGGGCGTGCTGTCCAGGTGCACCCACTCGGGGTGCAGGCACCACTTCTTGGCGAAGGCGACGGTCCACAGCAGGTCGACGCCGACGGCGAGGAGCGCCAGGTAGAAGCCGAGCGCCAGCGCGAAGAGCGCCGCGCTGGTGCCCACGTAGCGCGAGAGCGGCGCGTTGTGGATGCAGGACACGGAGCCGAAGAGATCGGCCACCACCATGCCTGTGCGAGTGTGTTGTGGGGGAGCGTCAACGTTAGCTCGCTGTGACAGCACTTGCCCCCAACAGTCTGTTCAGGCTACACGGGGGATCTTTGGTGATGTGTAGCAGTTAGCGCACCGCGCTACGAACCCGACGACCCGAGTTCCGTTTCCGACCAACACCGGTGACGATTGTCTGAACTGGTCCTTGGCCTCCCCTAGGTAGTCTCGGCCTCAAATAAGTACCTGGCGCGATGTGTAAACATCACCACTGGGGAAATAAATGCGGCCAGGCGTGGTGCTGGCCACCCAACTCGTGTGCTGTGCCACTTGCCCCAATAACCTGTTAAGCATATATGGGAAAGCTTTGTGTGCAAGAGCACGCTAGGCGTAAGGTGCTCTCTGGATTCATGTTACAGAAAAAAACGTAATATTTAAAATAACGTTTTTAATAACACGCTTTAATGAAATGTACCCTACAAGTAATGGAAGAACTCCACGACTCCAGGAAGTGGCCCCGAAGCTTGCCACGACGTAAGGGGACCGTGGGCAATTACAGCCAACGTCAGTTGAGCGTGGACAATTAGACCCAAGCCGAAACAAAACAAAAATGAATGTTGAAAAATATTTTTTAGTTTTTTTACGCTAGAATATAATATTGTCATCATTATGACATAAGTATACCAAGTTTGCAGTCGATGCCACATCGGGAAGTGTGTTAAAATTGAGTTACAAGATTTGTGGATACGACAACAGGCAGTGAGTTAAATAAAAGCGTGTAAATAGGTTGCGTCAAAATTGGGCCCATTTATATTCTCTTGCGCATAATAGCATGATAAGCTTAAAAAATAAGTAGTCTCTCACTTTAATCTCGTCTATGTCTCCTGTCATCTCACTACATCTATCTCTTGTCTACAGTTCTTCACATTTCACAGCATCGCTTATGTGGCCTGCATCTTTCTGAACTCACGACATCTCAAGTTTTTTGGAGGGCGAGAAGGATAAGAAAGATGAGGATGACGAAGGAGGAACAGGCATAGTTGGAGGAAGAGGAGGAGGCAGCGGAGAACGGTAGGACGATTGGGTGGAGGATGAGGAGGTAGTGGGGAAAGGAGGAGATGAGTCGGATGAAGAGAGAAGGATGAAGACGAGAATGACGATGTGGAAGATGAGTCGGATGAAGCGATAAGGGTGCAGACGCGTTGGAGGACGAAGCAGAGGAGGGTTTCGACGAGGGTGAGGAGGAGGCGGAGGATGATTTTCCGCACGTACCGGCGAGCGCTCCGAGCAGCACTTGGTGGGGGAAGTGCGCGGCGACGAAGAGCCGGGAGATGCCGACCCCGAGCTGGACGACGGCGAAGGCGCTCCAGAGCGCCGCGCCGAGCCAGCGGCGGGTGGCGGGCCCGCGGGCCGCCACGGCGCGCGAGTCCAGCAGGGCCCTCACCATCACGTACCACACGCAGGCCGAGCCCATCGCGTGGCCGGACGGGCTGCCTGCCTCGCGCGGGGCGGGGTGGGGGGACGGGGACACACGCGTGCACGTGAGATACCGAATCTGAAAATGTAGACTGGAGGAATCCGATGAGCTATGAAGCTCTTTTTCACCAGTTGTCCAGTGTGGGGCGGGGTTAGCAAGTTACAACGTCAAACAATGCAAAGATGCTCCCAAGAGACAAAGGTCCCCTGTTTAGCCTTGACCGGCTGTTGGGGCAAGTGCTGTTAGCGCCTATGAAAGCCGGAACGGCGCATGATGGGCTGGTGTCTCCGGCACCATGCCCGGCCACCTTTGTCTCCACGGTGTTGCTGTTTACACACCGCAGGAGGTACTTATTTAATGCTGATTCGACATACGGGGTTGCCCGTGACCACCAACGGATATTCAGCCGACGATGGCCGTGAGCGGGAATCGGAGTAAGTATTTAGACTGGAGGAATCCGATAAGCTATGATGCTCTTTTTCACAGATTATCAAAATCGAATGTTGGCAACCGGGTTCGTTGCGCAACGCGCTGACCGCTGCACCACCGCTGCCCCACATAGATACACCGCGCTGCGTGTTGGTGAGGGGGGTGTGTGGGGGAGGTGGAGACTTGCTCACCTGGGCCCGTCTCGCAGGTGATGGGGAACTGCTGCAGGTAGGGCACGGTGCTGTTCACGTAGAACGTCGTCTCGTGAACCCACCAGTAGGGCCGGTGTCCGAACAGGATCCTTCACAAGGGACATGGTGACACGCGGCGTGAAGGCAATGCGACACGGGAGACACGCTTCTGTGTGCATTTGATCCCAATTGAATCATTTGTTGGTACATTTTTAGCATCGGGACGTTTTTGCCAATACCAGTTGGTACGTTGTTTAGCCATGGGAGGAATCGCAGAGCCCAGTGGAAACCCATAGAGGACAGGGCGAGAATTCACAAACTCCACACACAAAGGGGCGCCCGAGTCAGGAATCGAACCCAGGCGCTTCTTGCTGTGAGGCATGAGTGTTCCCGCTGCACTGCCTGACTGCCGACCCTAAAAACTAAACAATATTCTGCGGGTCTTTCGGTAAAGTCACGTAGATAGGTTCAAATTAATAAAAATGAAATGAACAAAAAACGACGACGTTTTGATCGCAACACAAGCGTTCGTAAGGATGACGTCATGAGGATGACGATGATCGCTTGTAGTTTTTTGTTTATTTTTTATTAAGTTGAACTTATCTACGTGACTTTACCGAAAGTCCCAAAGAATATTAATTCCTGCTGTCACGAAAGCTTTACGTCAAGATTTAAACTATAAACTGTGTTTTTTTATGTTACCAGGTAAGGCCCACTTATTCATTGTTTTTTTCGGTAAAGTCACGTATGTAGAAATACAATAAAATGTCGTGATTTTTTTAAAATAAAATTTTATTGTATTTCTACATACGTGACTTTACCGAAAAAAACAATGAGTAATTTTATGCAGTCACGAAAGCTTTAATACTTTATTAAGGCCCACTTAGTTATTTAGCTCTTTTTGAGAAGCGACCTGGCCACAAATAATCGCCCAAATGAAGCGGTTTACACTCGCGTGGAAAACGTACCGCAGCTGAATACTCTCAACGCGTGACGTTCATTCTAAACGTGGAGGGAAAACCCGGAGGACGCGGAGAGAGACACCGCGAGCGTTGTTAGCCACCGCTCACCACCCGCCATGCCGCGACCCCGACAGACGCTCCCAACGTCCGATTTGGATCTCACCACTTGGACATGAGGTTGACCCAGTCTCCCAGCACGGCCGCCCACACCATCCTGATGCCCACGTCGCGGCGCAGGTAGAAGCAGATGGGGAAGTAGACGAGGAAGGCCGTGCGGATGTCTCCCACGTTGGACATGAAGTCGAGGGCACTCTGCTGCCCGCTGAAGGCGCTCTGCACGTGCTGGATCACGGACACCTCTCCGCCGTGCAGGCGCTCCATGGCGAAGTCGGTGGCCGGGGAGGATGTGGGGAGCTGAGCCAGAGAGCCTGGGCTGAAGTTGAGATGGAGCTGGGGATTGAGTTAGGATTGCACTCGGCTTCTTGGTTAGGCGAGACCGCTCGAGGCTTAGAGTAGGACTGGGTTAGATATGAGTGCAGACTGGACTTTGCTGAGCTAGGAATGGGCCTGGCTGCGGTGGTTTGGGATAGGCTGGGCTGTGCTGCCCACAACAGCGACACTACACCTGGGGCCACTGAGAGGTTGTGAGACCAGACACGGGACAAGGACCTGGACAGTCACACAGGGGCGGGGGTGAGGGAAAGAAGGAAAATTAGTACGCGCGTTGCGTGCATGCGACGTTGCTGAATTGTGGGCTTGATCTACTCTATAGCGCACTGCGCTATGGACGCGGCGTGTAACGTCAGCGGCGAGCGATGATGATGATGTCTGAACCGATTCTTGGGCGTGCCCCTTCGCCAGTCCACACTGATCACCGTGGTGAAGTATGGTCAAACACGTCACGACCGACACGGCGTGGGGTGGCCTTCATCCACGCAGTGGATTGGCAAAGGGCTGAATATCTATACTGATAGATGTGTATATATATAAAACACGTAGGCTTTCGCGACCAATATTCATAAGAGGGTTTGTTGAATAATCCAACCGGTAATGGGTACCCATTGTAATTTATATACACTCATTCACCCGCCTACTCTGGCATTCTCACCTGAAGGGCTCACAAGTGACGACGTCACATTTATCCGCTGTCTATTTAAGAACGAAACAGGAGGAGGATTTCTCCAACAATGTGGCTGTCGCCTGATGATGCCGGTTGTAATTACTGGCGAAACGTCGTAATTCAGATTGTAAATGTTGTGGATTTACTCTCCCAACACACAACCGGTGGTGCTGTGCCAGTAACGAATTGGCCACGTTCTGTTTACGTGTCACTAAACATTACTAATTGGCTGTGTCGGGTGGTGGGGGGTTTAACGGCACATTTATATTTATGCGATCTCTCCCCAAACAAAACCTATTATAGATGTTTGTATTTCTACACTAGCCTACGTTGCATATACCGTATTATCCGGATTACGAATGAACAACGAAATCATCAATAGCACTGCGTGTGGCCTAAGAATGAGTAAATATAGCATTAGCAACGGTACGGGTTAATGGCCCCTTTATTGTAAATAGGTCAGAGGGAGTGGGTAACACGAGTTGGAGACTCCACTTGCTTTACACCATGGAGCCGGATAACAAAAAAATACATGAAATGTTTGATGACCAGTTTTTTTTACAAACGGCATGCGACTGGTAACGCCATTGGTAATTATTGAGTATACATACGAGGCAAGCCATTCAACACAGTCATTTACACAGTACTACAAAATAAAACCTTTTTTAAATATTTAAAGTAAAATCAAACGTTCTCAACAAAAGGATGTTCGTATAAGACGCTCCGAAAAGGAAGACGCATCCCAAATCTTGTGCCCGGTGGGTGTCAAATACCGCGCACACGCGCACACCGGATTATAAGAAGAACACAGCACGGACATAAGGGGTTCATTCCTAAACCTTACAACAGTTTTAAACATCTGAGCTCAACCCCCGCCTGCTCTGATGAGTCCTGTGTGCCTGATACCGTCGATGCAGACTGCTAATACCGTTCAGAATGTCAGCGACGTGAGAATGTGGAATAAAAAGGTTAAATGTTTTGTAACAAACAAAAATATATACGGGAGTGCGTCTTATCATGGGCAGAACTCGGAAACAATTCCCCTCCGTTATCGTGCTCTGCTTGTTAAGTTATTCATGATGACACTCGGACACATTCGGCGATGAGAAACTACACCGTGGCGCGATGTTCAAAAAAGGTATAACAAAAAATAGGCGACGTTTAGAACAATGCCCCTGCTTCAGAGGGAGCACTACGTTGTTTAAATCGCGCTTTTGCGCCACAGGCAACGCAGAAGAATGACCACATAAGTTATGTTAATTTATGTTAATTATCTCCCCAGCTGTGTAGAATGGGTGCAACAGCAGTCAAGAGGATCGGCAGGTCGCTTTTGTTAGGGTGAAGTTGTAGGCACGAAGCCAAATGAACTGCAGAGGGTCCCTATAGTAGGGACCCATCCGTCAGCAGTGGCGTGAGCAATCAATTGCAGGGCTGCGCCTGTACACACAACACTGCACGTGTTGCCCACAATGCCCACCTTAATAGGCGCTCGCAAACAGCGCTCTCAATCGACCTCGATTCTGTGCGGCTGCCGATACAAATCCAATGTACCATATAACGTGGCAACTGTCCCAACCGTACATTTGGAGGCACGTGGGTTAGCGAGGTGGGTGAGATGGATGGATGGATCTGCAATTCACCAACTCTCAGACGAAGCGACTGAATGGCGAAATCGCTCAGAACTGGATCTCTCAGAGGAAGTCATAAACGGTCACACGAAATCACGATCACCACCATCATCATCATCAACCATGATAGCCCTATGAGGTGTGTGCAAGCGAACACAACTCACCCTTTCTCGGCACCAGATGTGATATTGATGTTGTTGACGCCGCTGCTGCTGCTAAGTATTGCTCTACCCAATACACTAATTACAATAATGACACAAAAAACAACCCGACGTTTCCGACGAGGCACCTAATTCAGGAAACTGCTACGCGAAGTGATGGAACCCTGAAGCCCTATGACTCGATGGCCGTAGGCTCGTCCTATGTGAGTTGATTCCAGCTGTGGCTCTGTGAACGCAGATCTCGGCTCGACTGTGATCACAGAGCCCTTTATATAGCAGCCGTGTTGACGACGAGAGGGCGAAAGGGGGAGAGGGAGGGGAGAGGGAGGGGAGCGCTAAGTGGTGGTGGGGAGATGGGGGTGGCTGTGGGGTGAGCGAAGGGGTGGTGGTGGTGGTGAGGGAGGGGAGGATGAGGTGAGAGCGGGGAGGGACAGAAGGGCCCTGGGATGGAGAGACAAATCAAAGTGCGGGTCGAGACGGGAAGACGGCCAGAAAGGATGGGGAGTGAAGGCAACAAGGGGAGGGAGTTCGCGGGGAGACACTGACGGAGGGGAGAGGTTGACCAAAGTGGAGGAGAGAGGGGGGTGAAGGGATAGCGAGAGAGAGAGAGAGGTTAAACGAGGAGGCAGCGGAGGGAATGAAGTGAGACACGGGGAGTTGGGAGATGGAGGCGGGGAGAGGATGGAGCAAGGCCGTAGCCATGGAGTCAACATTGGGGGGGACCAAAGCTTCTAGGGGGTCTGGGGGTCCCACCCCCCCAGAAAAAAATGTAAATTTGAAAACGAATTTCCTGCCTAAAATATAAAAAAATTCACTAACACATAGGATGGACTTTGTATTTATGTTTCACAATAATGTCTAATAGTGTATTGTATTACATTGCTCTGTTTTTTTACCTTTTCTTGTTTCATTGTGTGTAACCGCAATCATATAAACACAAATCAATTTTCTTGCAATATATTGGGGTCGGACATTTTGAGCATATTTGAATATTGGGGGGGGATGTGTCCCCCCCCAATGTCACTCCATCCCAAGGTCGTAATTATATATATTGGGGGGGGGATGTGTGTCCCCCAATATATTATAATTGTGGCCTTGGGATGGAGTGACATGAGACATGTGGATAGGGGGAAGAGAGATTGGTGGATTGAAGAGTGAGACACAGTGAGAGGGAGGTGGGGGGTGAATGGAGAGTTGAATCATTTGGCGGGACCCCGGGGTTCCGCAAAAATCAGGTCAATAATAATTATTCTTTTTCTTCAGTCCGCCCACTCGTGACCCCGCAAGGACACCGCCTGCTGACACCAACAAGCGCCAGCAGGCGGCGATCACCACGACGGGCGCCACCCCACCGGCCAAACGCGAGCCGCGGGGGGCGTCCGCCGCAGTCGCGAGCGGCGACGACGCCCTCCGGTCAGCCGTCGTCGATCCTCGGCTTCTTTGCCAAGGCGAGCCCCATCGCCACCCCCAGGCGGTGAATTTGTTTCAGTTGATGAAATGGAGGTGGAGAGGGGAGGGAGCGATGGGGGCAGAGGAGGGCGATTCGGCGTCGTCAAGTTAGACACGGAGAGAGGCGAGAACAGAGGGATGGAACGGTGAGACAAAGACGGCAGGGATGTAAAGGCGGGGGCGGGGCGGGGGGAGTTAATGGAGAGTCACAGGGGAGGTGAATGGAAAGTCACAGGGGAGGGTGAGGGAGTGAAGGGGGGGGGAGTGAAGTCAACGGGGAGCCACAAGGAGGGAGTGAATGGAGATTTAAAGGGAGAGAAGAGAGATACAGAGGAGGGGGTGAGTGAGTGAGTGAGGGGGGAGGGAGGGAGGAAAGATAATCAATGGAGAGACACGGGGGGAGAGGAGGCAGCGGGAGTGGAATAATTTGCTCGCCCCCTCCCCCGGACCGCCGTGCTGATGTTTGTGAAAGTTAACGCCGACCCGCGGATGAGCGCCTAAGAACGCACGGCGTGGCCGAGTTAATGATGAACTGATGTCCCCGGGTCCGAGAGAGAGAGACACAGAACGCACGGCGACAACAATCCCGCCAAAAACAACACGGAGACAACAATCCCCTCAAAAACAACACGGAGACAACAATCCTCGCCAAAAACAACACGGGGACAACAATCCCCTCAAAAACAACACGGAGAGAACAATCCCCTCAAAAACAACACGGAGACAACAATCCCGCCAAAAACAACACGGAGACAACAATCCCCTCAAAAACAACACGGAGACAACAATCCCCTCAAAAACAACACGGAGACAACAATCCCGCCAAAAACAACACGGAGACAACAATCCCCTCAAAAACAACACGGAGACAACAATCCCCTCAAAAACAACACGGAGACAACAATCCCCTCAAAAACAACACGGAGACAACAATCCCCTCAAAAACAACACGGAGACAACAATCCCCTCAAAAACAACACGGAGACAACAATCCCGCCAAAAACAACACGGAGACAACAATCCCCTCAAAAACAACACGGAGACAACAATCCCGCCAAAAAACAACACGGAGACAACAATCCCGCTAAAAACAACACGGAGACAACAATCCCCTCAAAAACAACACGGAGACAACAATCCCGCCAAAAACAACACGGAGACAACAATCCCCTCAAAAACAACACGGAGACAACAATCCCCTCAAAAACAACACGGAGACAACAATCCCCTCAAAAACAACACGGAGACAACAATCCCGCCAAAAACAACACGGAGACAACAATCCCCTCAAAAACAACACGGAGACAACAATCCCGCCAAAAAACAACACGGAGACAACAATCCCGCTAAAAACAACACGGAGACAACAATCCCCTCAAAAACAACACGGAGACAACAATCCCGCCAAAAACAACACGGAGACAACAATCCCCTCAAAAACAACACGGAGACAACAATCCCCTCAAAAACAACACGGAGACAACAATCCCCTCAAAAACAACACGGAGAGAACAATCCCCTCAAAAACAACACGGAGACAATCCCGCCAAAAACAACACGGAGACAACAATCCCGCCAAAAACAACACGGAGACAACAATCCCCTCAAAAACAACACGGAGACAACAATCCTCACTAAAAACAACACGGAGACAACAATCCCGCCAAAAACAACATGGAGACAACAATCCCGACAAAAACAACACGGAGACATCAATCCCGCCAAAAACAACACGGAGACAACAATCCCCTCAAAAACAACACGGAGACAACAATCCCCTCAAAAACAACACGGAGACAATCCCGCCAAAAACAACACGGAGACAACAATCTCCTCAAAAACAACACGGAGACAACAATCCCCTCAAAAACAACACGGAGACAACAATCCCCTCAAAAACAACACGGAGACAACAATCCCCTCAAAAACAACACGGAGACAACAATCCCGCCAAAAACAACACGGAGACAACAATCCCCTCAAAAACAACACGGAGACAACAATCCCCTCAAAAACAACACGGAGACAACAATCCCCTCAAAAACAACACGGAGAGAACAATCCCCTCAAAAACAACACGGAGACAATCCCGCCAAAAACAACACGGAGACAACAATCCCGCCAAAAACAACACGGAGACAACAATCCCCTCAAAAACAACACGGAGACAACAATCCTCGCTAAAAACAACACGGAGACAACAATCCCCTCAAAAACAACACGGAGACAACAATCCCCTCAAAAACAACACGGAGACAATCCCGCCAAAAACAACACGGAGACAACAATCTCAAAAACAACACGGAGGCAACAATCCCCTCAAAAACAACACGGAGACAACAATCCCCTCAAAAACAACACGGAGACAACAATCCCCTCAAAAACAACACGGAGACAACAATCCCGCCAAAAACAACACGGAGACAACAATCCCCTCAAAAACAACACGGAGACAACAATCCCCTCAAAAACAACACGGAGACAACAATCCCGCCAAAAACAATACGGAGACAACAATCCCGCCAAAAACAACACGGAGACAACAATCCCCTCAAAAACAACACGGAGACAACAATCCCGCCAAAAACAACACGGAGACAACAATCCCCTCAAAAACAACACGGAGACAACAATCCCCTCAAAAACAACACGGAGACAAGAAGCCCCTCAAAAACAACACGGAGACAACAATCCCCTCAAAAACAACACGGAGACAACAATCCCGCCAAAAACAACACGGAGACAACAATCCCCTCAAAAACAACACGGAGACAACACTCCCCTCAAAAACAACACGGAGACAACAATCCCCTCAAAAACAACACGGAGACAACAATCCCGCCAAAAACAACACGGAGACAACAATCCCCTCAAAAACAACACGGAGACAACAATCCCCTCAAAAACAACACGGAGACAACAATCCCCTCAAAAACAACACGGAGACAACAATCCCCTCAAAAACAACACGGAGACAACAATCCCGCCAAAAACAACACGGAGACAACAATCCCCTCAAAAACAACACGGAGACAACAATCCCCTCAAAAACAACACGGAGACAACAATCCCGCCAAAAACAACACGGAGACAACAATCCCCTCAAAAACAACACGGAGACAACAATCCCCTCAAAAACAACACGGAGACAACAATCCCGCCAAAAACAACACGGAGACAACAATCCCACCAAAAACAACACGGAGACACAAACAACAATGGGACACGGGACCTCACGGGAACTCGGACAAATCCACCACCATCGTGTAGCCTGTAACAGACTGTAGGGGCAAGTGCTGTTAGCGAGTACCTACGAAGGCCGGCACGGCACACGAGGGGGTGGGTGACACAGCAACCACGCCCGGCCGCCTTTGTCTCCCCCACAGGGCGATGTTTACACGACCGCATCAGCTGCTCATTTTGAGGCTGAGTCGACCTAAGGGATGCCCGGGACCGGTTTTAGAGAATCGTCACCGATGTTGGTGACCGTGGCTGGGGGTTCGTAGCGCAGCGTTGCGCTAACCGCTGCGCCACCGCTCCTTCCCGCGTTACACATATGTATAACAAAAAAACAATTGCAATGCCTTTACAAACAAACACGAAGGACGCAAACAACAAGCTTAAACGAGGGCTCGTAAAACACGGCGGCATTATAGCACGGCCCCAAGAAATAGGGGCGAGAACTCAGAAGGGGACAACATTCCCGCCAAATATCACGGCACCGAAACCGCGCGAAACGAAGATTTATTTACCTCACGGAAAAACATACGGGACACACGGACAACACAAATGAACGAATGCCTCGTAAAC